ACCATTGTTATATCAAACTCCTGTAGTCTAAGGCTCCAGCGTGCCAATCGCCCGGAAGGATCTTTCAGACTTGTTAACGAACACAACGAATGGTGGTCACTGATAACCTTGAATGGGCGGCCGTACAGGTATGGGCGAAATTTCATAACTGCCCCCACCACGGCGAGGCATTCCTTTTCAGTGGTCGAGTAATTTGCTTCTGTGCGTGACAGAGTTCTGCTTGCGTAAGCGATCACTCTTTCCTCGTTTGTCCTGGCGCTGCACAAGTACAGCTCCGAGGCCAACATTGCTGGCGTCAGTATGGAGCACTGTAGGGGCTGTGTCATCAAAATAGGCAAGCACGGGGGTCGTCTGTAGACGTTGCCGCAAGTCATTGAAAGCATCTTCCTGTTCGTCGCCCCAAACAAATGCAACGTCATTCCTCGTGAGACGAGTTAAAGGTGACGCGATGCGCGCAAAATCTGGAATCGCCTCACTGCCTTTTTTATTCTGATGGAATAAATCTGGAAACGCCTCACAGCCTTTTTATCTGATGGTGTTGGAAACTGTGCGACGGCGGCAACTTTTTCGGGGTCTGGACGAACTCCTGCGTAACTGACGACATGGCCAAGAAACTGTAGTTCCTCAAAGCAGAAGTGACATTTCTCCGGCTTGAGCGTCAGGCCTGCGGCTCGTATGGCCTGCAAGACCATTTGCAATCGTTCAAGGTGTTCGTCAAACGTTGTAGAAAACACAATGACGTCGTCAAGGTATACTAGGCAGGTTCTCCATTTAAGCCCAGAGAGAACGGTATCCATGAGACGCTGGAAAGTAGCAGGCGCGGAGCACAAGCCAAATGGTAAAACCTTAAACTCATACAGTCCGTCTGGCGTCACGAAAGCGGTTTTTTCACGATCCCTGGGGTCTACTTCAATTTGCCAATATCCGCTCTTTAAGTCCATGGAAGAGAAGTAACGTGCGTTTCGAAGCCTGGCAATCGAATCATCTATGCGGGGAAGCGGGTACACGTCCTTTTTTGTAACCTGATTTAGCTTTCGATAGTCCACACAGAAACGCAGGCTGCCGTCCTTCTTTTTCACTAGAACAGCAGGTGATGCCCAGGGGCTTTTCAACGGTTGAATGACGTCGTCTTCAAGCATTTTTGTTACCTGCTGTTCTATCGCTTCTCGTTCTTTTGAAGCCACACGGTACGGATTTTGATGGATTGGTCTAGCCGTGTCCTCTGTGATGATTCGGTGCTTGGTCAAGGACGTCCGGCCAACTTTCGAGGTCGACGCAAAACAGTCGTGGAACTCGTCTAGCAGCACAAGCAGGCGTTCCCGCTGTTGCTGAGTTAAAGTAGGGCTGACGTCAAGCTTAGGTGCTAGGTCACGTGGGTCTCGTGCAGGTGTTGCTTCGAGTGCTGAAAAGCAGTCACAAACATCTGCGGTCTCGTCGAAATGTGCCAACGTTGTGCCTTTTGGAAGGTGCCGTCGCTCGGAGGTGAAATTGGTCAACAGTAAGTTTGTTCGGCCGTCGCTGACATTGACTATTCCTCGTGCTACGGAAATCCCGTGTGTGAAAAGCAGCGAGGTTAGTTGGTCGGCGACTCCTTCACCGTCGAACGGTACGTCACATGCTACTGAAATGAGGATACATGATCGAGGCGGCACGACTATATTGTGGTCTTTGAGACAAAAAGATTTGTGCTCTGGTGATGTAGGATCAGTCAGACGAGCACTCTCGTAAAATGAAACCACGCGGTCCGGGATGTTGATTATTGCGCCATGCTCCCTGAGAAAGTCCATTCCTATAATTAAATCTTTGCAGCACTCTGGGAGAACAATGAAAGTCGCGACGAAAGAAGAATCTCCTATGCCGATTCTTGCTGTGCATCTTTCAGTAGGGAGCAGCAATTGACCACCTGCTGTTCTTATATGTGGTCCTGTCCATGGCGTTTTTACTTTTCTAAGATGATCAGCCAGCTTGTGACTTATTATGGAAAAATCAGCACACGTATCGACTAAGGCCGTCACTTGCTCTCCATCAATAATTACATTGAGGTCGGCACTCACCATTTCATCGTTGTTATATTCGTCGGCGTCGAGTCGTTCTGTAGCGGCAGTACTGGGGACTTTTTTTATCGTCTTGTGGTCGGGCTGCGACCTTACCCCGAGAGGTCGCCGCCTTTAGTTTCCCCGGTAAGGGCTGGGCGACATTGTTCCCCGAAGGTCAGCAAAAGTATGTCGATTCGGTGACGATGTCTGAGCAGGGGATCGAGAGCGTGACCTGTGGGCGGAATTGGGCTGGCGATTAGGAGGCGACTCGTGATAGGGAGACCACGTTGTTGAAGTTCCTCGAAAACCAGGGTCGTCATGGCGAACAATGTAGTCGTCGTTGGCACGGCGACCGTCGTACCCTGGCCGAGACGGGCGAAGCGATGTGTCGTGGCCGGTACCACCACAGTTGAAACAGAGAGGGCGCCGATCGACGGTGCGCCAAGCGTCCGTTCTGCGAAATTGTGGGCGTCTTATGTCCTCTCGTGGTGGTGAGTAAGGCGCGGCAAGTGGTGGGTGGTGGCATGGAGACATCGGAGACATGGGCCGACGTCTGAAAGCCTCCTGCAATGGTTGCGACGAAGGTGCGGCTGTAGGCGGCTGGTAGTATGATGTAATAGGCGGGACGGGTGGTGGACAGCGTCGGCGTAACTCAGTTGACGGTGATCGCGGCCGAGATCAGCTGCTGAAAAAGCGTGCCTAAGTTCGTCACGAACGACTGCGGCAACGGCGGTCGCTGGTGTATCCACTGGAGGGGTCCAAAGCTTCTGAATTTCTTCTCAGACAATATCTCTGATCAGGTCACGTAGGGAACCCTGATTGTCCAGAGTCACTGAAGCGGCGTTGATTGGGGTGGTAGTGGACGAGCGATCATATTGCCTCGATATTTGGTGTAGAGCACGCTCAATGGCAGTGGCTTCTCTTATAAAATCGGCCTCGGTAGTTGGGGCGTTGCGCACAAGTCCAGCGAACAGTTATTCTTTCACGCCGCGCATAAGGTAGCGCAACTTCTCCTCGGACATGTTGGGATCAGCCCGACGACAGAGGCGCGTCACGTCTTCAGCAAACATTGCCACAGTTTCGTTAGGTTTTTGAAGCCTTAACTCGAGCAACTGCTGAGCCCGCTCTCGACGGTCGACGCTAGCAAAGGTGTCAATCAGCTGCTGATGAAACTCATCCCATGTGGATATACGGCCTTCTCGATTCTCAAGCCACGTGTGAGCGCTGTCATCGAGAGTGAAGTACGTGCAGGCGAGCTTCTGTTGAGCATTCCACTGGTTGATGTCGGCAACGCGTTCGTAATGCTCAAGCCAATCTTCAACATCTTTATGTGGGGCACCACTGAAGCCATCAGGCACAAGCGGCTGAAGAAGTGTTACCTGGGCTGGATTGGAAACGAGGCTGCCTTGTATCCCTTGGACCAACTGTGGCTGGCTAGCGGAGGCCATTAGTAAAGGTACGTAATGCCTGGTAGAATGTTCGTCGAAGGAGGTCAGCTCAGGAGATAGGCCTAGCAACCACCGACTGAAGCGGTGCACTGGTGTCGTAACAGGTGGCTGCGTGTCGGGACTTGATGAACGGCTCCCAGATGGGGTGTTGAGCATCGGCAGGCTTGCTACCCAGCACCTCCACCAGTGTCGCGGTTCAACGTAAGCAGTGCACCGAGACGTTGAGTCCGAGAACCAACAGTGTGTGTTTTTATGCAGGAGCCAAGAGCAGGCGAGCAAAACAAAAACACGTCGTCTTCTTCAGTCCGCCTTTTCACGAGCTATTGGTGCGCACATCGTCTTTGTTCTTTGTTCCGGGCGCGGCAATATGCTTACGTTTCACCACCCCAAGCTTGGGTCGAGGAAGACCTTTCTTGCTGGTGTGTCCAATGTACTTGTCTGTACATCTGCAAACGGTTGCCAGAACAATTGACCCAGCACAATTTTCAGTTTCTGTTGCAGGGTGCTTTACTGCATGCAAGTTCCTCTGTATGGGTAGCTTGGTTGCATACAAATATTTCCAAGTGCCAGAAATGAAAGCGCATTCCAGATGAGAGAGCTAAATACATGTACCTTGTAGGTGGTGTTATAGACTGATAAATGCGTGCTTACCCAACTGGCGTAGCACTGAAAATAATGCTCCTTTAGTGTAAAGTTACGATCAGGTGAACTAAACCAGCTAAAGACAATACTGCCAAATTTTATGGTCTTATGTACCTACAAATTCAGAACTTCATAGTGTCTGCATGACCCAAGCAAGTCTTGTCATCAAAAAGGCTTTCATTTTCCACCAGAGACTTGTAGGCTTGCTTGAGGGGGGCATTTTGTATGTTCACACACACAGGCCATGTACACACGCTTAGATTCCCACTCCCTACATGTAGTCGCCACACTACTGACCTTTATGTCAGAAGTTGCTTATGGTATGCAACCAGCCTTCCTGCAATTGTCCCGTCTTGCTGTAATTCCTTGGCAGCTATAAGGCAACCATGGCGGCTCCATGATGATGGTCATAATTAGTGGTTAAGTGAGAATGGATATCCCAAGAAAGTGCTACTGATACTCCATGCCCTCTTTTTTGATTCTGTGAGATATAACTGGTTAATGTGGCCCAACCCTTGGCTTGAAATCTGACTAAGTGCAGCTGTTGGTGAAGCTTACCAAAAACTGGCAGCAGGTATACATTTTTTTTGTTATCTTTTATAATGCCTCTTTCATCTGCATTTCTGCCTTCCGAGACATCTTGTGCAGTGTCAAATTGAATTGGGAGTTTCTAACTCTTGGCAGAGTTTACAAATGTACACAGATGTGTGAGCTATGATGTGCACTATACAGTATATAAAGCTAATCATAAGCAGTATAATTTACTTGTTCCTCAGCTTTGCTTACCAATGGAGAGTGAAAGCGGTTCACCGGGATAGCTCGTATTGTGTCTTGCAAAGAAAAACAGGGCGAGGAATGAGACATACACAACATGACCACAGGGACACAATTCAGCATATTTATTTCGAAGTTCATGTGCTAGCACAGCAGCTACATGACACTGGATTGTGTAGCAAATGTACTCTATGTGTTTCAGACTGCATGCATGAAAGTGCTAGCATCACTCCGTGGCAAGCTCTCATATTTTATCCAGAGCTATGCTGCTAATACTTGATAAATTTTGTTATCAAGTAAAAATTATTACAATGAAAAAATAAAGCTAAAATTTTAGATGCTCATTGGTAAGCTGCGCTAGCTGTAACAGAAACAGCACAAAAAAGTGAAATAATAAAAAAAGATGGTGCAATGAAATATACGTAAAGCACATCCTCCCTGTATATATATTTCTGACAGGTTTACATGCTGAGACTGAGATGATGGTAGCAATTATGATGCGTGAACGGGCATGGCTGGGCGAAGCGCCGGAATTTGTGAGCCTTTAGATGACCCTTTGGGAACCATTGGGAAGTGCTGGGTTGCCAGGGTTGGCCGGTGTGGCTTCAGGACTGTGCTTCTGCAGAGCAAAGATAGACAGGCAAGATGTCGGTTACAGTGATCTTGGCGAAGATAGTGCATATGTCTTATACATAGATTAGAGCATTATCTATCTGAATAGATATTGCAGCCAATATACTGGTACATTGGACTCCAGAGGAATAGCAATGTTTGAAAAACAGGGTTGCCTTCACAAAGACTAATGCATGCCTCTTTTTACAGTCAAGATCAGAAATTGATTGCCACAGCCATACCTGAAATAGCTGTCAAGTACTGCCTAGTGCACTTAGTAAGCACCTCAGTACCCCTTTTTTAGTGGGAGATATTGGCTAAATGTGTGTACAGTCAAGTCCACTTATAATGATATCGTAACACTATCGAATATAATGATGAACAATGATAGCACTGTCCACTTTTGTATGCTCTTTATGGTAAAATAAACAACTTATTAAGACACTCTAGCGCCGCGATATTGGACATAGCAATTGAATCCGGCTAAAGCACGTGCCTAAAAGGCCCTCCATGCCGACCGTGTTGTGCTGTAGACAGCGGAGTGAGTGAAGACGACGCGGCTGAGCAGGCTACCCAAGTACTGTCATTGCAGAAGGCCCAATGGATGATACAATCCCTCTGGGACTTTGTTTTTGCAAAGGGTCTCCCGCTCAGCTACGTGGAGCACCTAGATGCTCCAGGGAAATGTGTGCGCTAACTTCATGGGAAGCAATCAAAGCTGACAGGCTATGGATTTTCTGCAAAGAAGTAGTATATACTTGCATGCAAAGAAAAGTTTGTCTTTTTATTGTTAGCCCACTAATAACAATGTCACAATGTCACTTCCCAGGCACTTGGATATCGTTATAAGAGGACTGTACTGTGTGCAATTAAGCGGAGGAGGTTAGTAGGTTGGTGCACGCTGCAATCACATTCTCTCTTCTCGACGAAAGCGCTGGAAGCTAAGCAGGGAGGGATGGCATGGGCGAAAATGCGTCATGTGTGTCTTGTGACATTGAGGATTTTTTTTCTTTTTTCTTCAAATATGCGGCTTTTTCTGTGTGATTGCGCACTCACGCGTGGACAACTCGAGGCCTCTCATGGCAATCCCTGTAACGACCAGCACGCCATGCTCAAATCAGCCATTGGCTGATAGAAGACCTTTTACGAGGATTTTGGAGCTTCTTCCGTCATTTTTCGAGAAAAGAAAAAGCAATTTTTAGCTGACTGTGATAATTTACTGTGAATTCCACACCGTGTGCTTTGCTATAATATTTGGCTCGCCTGTTCTCGGCAGCATTTTCTGCCCATGCTCAAAAAGTGTTGCAGGGACCCCTTGAAGTGGCCACCTGTACATTCTTGGTATGCTTCACTGTAATACCTCAGGCACGCTTGGCCACATAAAAAGTGCATTGCGACTGAGCAAACCATAAGAAAGTGTTACAGCTGCTGGTGGATAGGCTCACAAGAGCATCAGTTTAAGGTTGCGATATACCTAAACAACACAAGTGATGGTGGCTGCAGCTAATGCTGCTTACAGCCTGCAATGTGCAAGGAGTTTATAACATGGGTGGCAAAAGGTTACACCACCCAAAATTTCGAAAATCATTACGTTAGCTCTACAGGGTGAAAGGCGGTGCTGTGAAAGCGTCTGAATTACAGGTGTGTCAGAAAATCGGTCATAGAATTGCATTCACAAAACCTGGGTGTTTTACTATTACTGCAGCAATGTGTTGCCATAATCTATTTGTGATAATGCACCACGACCGTGGCACATGTATTTTGCTGCGATGTGGTACAAGTTAAACATTTGGAACGAGATTTTAATTTTCGCAAGCCAGCAATGCCAGATATCGAAAAAACACACAGTATGTCATCTAATTAGATAAGTATCGAATTTGATCTTCTTGTTCCTAGCAACTTCACTGTATATGTTGTAGAACTGAAGGCTGTTCGTGCTTCATTTATTTCCTAGTGATAAAGAAAAAAAATTCAGCGCTACAGGATAACATGTTGAGAACAAACCCACGACACTAATTTCATAATTTTCTTCAGCACGTTCACAAGCGGCATTACCATGACATCAAGCGTTCAAGTGAAGTCATTGCTTCATGTTAAATTGCATCCCTGAATACAAAGACTACTCCCCCACATTTTGCTGTGAATGCTTGGCACATTGGTGTGTTTCAAGGACACTTGGCTGCGGCGGACCGAGTCGTGCATGCCACCTAAAATCTCTCATGTATTTGCAAGTGGCATAAATTTCAACATACTTTTTTCTTTTTCTTCTCCTTCTTCTTTTTCTTCCTTTCTTTCTCTTCGTCGTGCCGCTTCTGCTTCTTGTGCTTCTTCTCATGGGAGGCGTCAGAGGCATTTTCTAAAAATGTAATATTATAATATGAGCACCGTGCACAGCAGTTGGGGTATATTTTGTTGTGGCACAGTTGAAACCGTTTTGTCATAATGACGCTAAATTTTCCATGTCTAGGTTTACTCAAAATAATTGCAGTGTAGTCACTAGAGCACTATTTGTGCATATATAAGTTCTCAGAAAACAATAGTTGTTATTTTATTTTTAAAGTTAAACAAGACTTGGACAACCCGAAGTGTGAGTACAAGCAAGAACTTTTTAATTTTAACCATGGCCAGCAATGCCACTAAAATTCAAAAAAGTAGATTCTGGCATCCTGCAAGCCAAAACTGCAACATCATTATTAGGCATGCTGTAGTAGGGAATTCCGCATTTATTTCGACCACCTGAGGTTCTTTTAACATGGAATTAAGCCTAAGTAAGCACTACATGTTTCTTATTTTAAGCTTTTGTATCTATTGAAAGGCAGCCGCGGCAGCTGAAGATCGAACCGCAAGCTTGGCAGCACCGCAACTGAACCACAAGGCTGCCACTGCAGATATTGCAACAAGCTATGACGTAACTACACAACTTAAGGAAACTGTCTATCACGATTACCAGCATCAAAAAAAGCTACCGAAGTCTGAGGCATAACACAACAACCCCAACAGATGAGCAGTGCTGAAAAATCGGATCGTGTGTCACTCACCCTGCTGCTGAGATTCGTGATTCGGTGTGTCACCCATTTTGTGTTTGTGCTTTTTGTGCTTGTGTTTCTTTCGTTGTGGCTGCTGGCTCATCATTCGGTACTGTTCGGGCAGCTGGAAAAGCGTCGATAAGTGGCAGTAGATGAAGATGGACAAGCTCGTCGCAAGCACACATGTGCTACAATCTGCGTGTGCAACTCTCGCAACATCTCTAAAGCCCACCTCCATGATCCAAGCCCAACAAGCTTTTAAACTAGCTTTCTGTACCCATTGAAACAATACAACAGCAAAGATTAAACTTTTTCATAACGGCAGAGACAAATTGCGGTAACAATCTGGAAATGCGACACTCTAACAACCAAATTTGATTTAGTCGTCATTTGGGTCTTCACGGCAATTACTAAGCTTGTCAATGTCATGAACGTGAATAATGCACATAAAAAAAAATCGCAAGTCAGGCAATGGTTATAGTAAAACTTCTTATTGGCAACTTCTGTAGGCAAAAGCATGCCTTTGTGCAACAATAAATGCAAGCACGGCAATTGAAGTTAACAGCTGTGATTAAAACAAAAAGTCAAGTTCATAAATGTATGCCTTTGTTTTCAAATTGGACACACTGCTCATCTATTTCAGAATTTTTTTCAGTAATTTTGAACTTAGGATTTTGTATATTATTGTATATAGTATCTTGTATTCCCAATCCCTTTCATAAGTTTTGGTAAGACATAACACAATGATCACTGGACAACAGCGTAGGACAACAATCACTGGTAGAAAGCACACATAGTTTTTACAATTGTCTCTGTCCCATTTTACACATGCTCGCACAAGTTTTGTTAGTATGACTAGGACTCCTGAGACACATCTGATCATCCAAATAACTGGCGTGTTTTTCTCGTCTGGCTTTTTCCATCTTCTCGTTGCACGTTACAATGCCAACAGGGAGATGGCCAAAACATCACCAGTAACAAGCTTCCAATTTACACACGAGATACATCAGTTATGATTACACATGACATATGAAGTCAGTGGACAGGAGGAAAGAGCATCTGCAGAGAGCAAAGCAAAGGCAAGACAGAAATTGTTAACTCAAGAGCTAAGGATGGTTCAGGTGTCCCTTTTAATTCAGCTACAATTTTGAAAACGCCTCACATATTAGATAACTTTTGACTTGAGCTACAGCATAGTGTTACTGGGGCTAAGAAAAAGAATACTTTAGAGAATACATGGCACACTATTGTGTACTGAGAAATAAGTAAGCTCTAGTCCAAGCAAAAGGGCAATGACCTCACAAAATAGAGAAACGAATGTGCACCATAACATGTGACACAGTAATAGGTCCCGACGTTGCACAACACAGAACAAATGCAATCACAAAAGAGAAGACGGGAGAAACAGCTGTCACTCAATACTGTGACAGAACTTCTGATGTTTTTATGTACTGAATCTACTTTATACTTCTAGAACTAATCTATGTTAGACACCATGCTGCTTCTAAAGCACAGAGTCAAGCTGTGCCTGTCTTTTTTTCCTTTGTTTGTCTTGATAACCACGATCCATCAAATGTGTCTGTTTCGCGTCTACTAGACTGATGAGAGAGAGCAGGTCGATGCCCTTCCATGCAATAGTTTTTGTATTACGCGTCTCCTGTCTTCTCTTTTCCTTCGGCTGCATGTATCTCGGTAGCATAGATTAATAAAGCTTGCTGTCGCATGTTACTACTCATACTAACCGGTCCAGGATGAAGCCTAAACCCGACCAGTTGGGCGGCAGTAAGGGCCAATAGCTCCTTTCCACCGACGGGTGGCTTTTCGATGATAGAACGTAGTGAACTGCGAGTGATTAAAAAAAAAAAAAGGTAAATGTAAGACGATAGTTATAGCGCGAGAACAAAACGACGACACAGAGACAAGAAGGACACGAGCGCTTTTTGTCTCTGTGTCGTCGTTTTGTTCTCGCGCTACAACTATCGTCATGCCATACCAACTAGCTCAAGCTGCCGCACTTCTAAGTAAACGTAAGCCTTCACCAGCCGATTCAACCACATCGACGCGTGGCGAAGCGCTGCAGATCGTTTCACCATGCCCAACAATTACAAAAGGACGCCGAAAGTATCACCCACCTGTTGTCTTGATCGCCGGGTGCATCGATGTTGCCTGGCAGGTTGGGCAAAAAAGCACTGAGCTGGTCCTTGACCTTACGGCCGCTGAATTTGTTATAGGAGTGCTCCAAGTTATACGATCCCATCAGACTTGTGGCGCCGGTGAGCTCACTCTCTGGAAAAGAGAAATCAACACAAATTAGCCGATGGCGCACGATTCACTCGAAAATGAAACTTGCACGGCACAATCGCTCTTAGTTACGAACGCCGAAGCGATTACGTTTGACAAGTCGAACATCTGTCGAGAAAACGCCACAAAGAAGCATCTGCGCGTTAGGATTGCGGCAAGGGCACCGAAGTAAGCAGGCATACGGGCAATTATGGACGTTCGCTTCATTTTCTATCGGCATGATGCGATCAGAAAGCTGGGTAGCGTTTTTGGAAGCGACGAGCGAAACGTAGGAGGTTCGCTTACTTGGGGGTTCTTTCATGAGATAGAAAGGACCGCTGTGAACAATGGCTGGAGTCTTGCCGAGAGAAATTGTCGTCTTAAGCGTTCCGGTTGTGTCCTGACGAGACACAACCGGCGAGCGGGAGCCGCGAGGGCTCGATTTTGGAGAATATTGGTCCGCCCGCCGTACCACCTCAGCCATTGTCGTCTGCCATGTTGTTTCCTGCACATTTTCCTTCCCATCATGCAATTCGTGGAAGTGCGGCGTAAATAGTTACAACGCCTCCTAAACTTCTTGTGCCTGCCAGATAAGCGCGAAACGCCGGTCATTTATGGCGGCGTTGCCTACGTAGGAATAAGGGTTGTTGTATTCGGCCTTTGAGATTGGCAATTTTAGGCGTTTGCTACTAATTTCAGAGGATGCCTTGTTTTTAAATAGTTGTTTGCTGAATAACGGCGTCACTTACGTATGGATAATTATAACTTACGTTTAGGTTTTTTAAAGCTGTTTTACGTTATTTTTGTTGCATGTAATCTCCAAAAACGTAAAAACCCTATTTGAAAACACCCCTACTTGAGTGGCGCCACCACCGTAGTTCCGACGACCGCCGCTTTCCAAGTGACCACCAATAATCCGGCAGGCAAGAGAAATCTAGGAGACGTTGTAAATAGTCACCAAAAGCTCTAAATGCAATATTAAACGTTTTTAAACGCGTTTTTCTATTTTTTATTCTAATTTACTACACCATTTCTACTAATAAGATGTTTTTAAATGCTTTTGCAGCGTAAGCTATCCAATACGCACTAAACTACCTAACGTTTTAGCTGATTGCCATCTCAAAGTCTTATCTACTTATCTCAAAGGCTATGCTTTTGTGCTTAGCGACGATGAATTTGTGAAACCTTTTACCCATGGTGCTTGGTAGTGCACTCTACCGGGGTGCCCACATTGGTGTCCATGTCACTCCTCCCCCCCTCCCCTTCGCATAATTTCCCGCGCAACTTTCAGCGGACTTGGTTGTCGCACATGTCTTGGGCTGGCGCGGGATTTGTTGTTTTGATTGCGCTCAGAAATGATTTCCACCGAGGACATCCTCTCTCTCAGTTCGTGCAAATCACTAAACGATGTGAAGGAGCTAGAGTAAGTTGTCACGAAAATGGGGGACGTATGATGCACAAAGCCGGTGACCAGTAGTGAAAGTAATTGCGGTTGGATAACGGTTGCTTGTGTAGCTGAATTACGCTGTGCTGCTGCACGTGTTGTTATAACTGCATGAAACATGGGGGAGCTACTCTTCGGTGTTGCACGTGCAGAAAAACAAAACAAAAATACAAGTTACTTTATTTTTTTTGGCTTGCCTTCGATAGTTTCATTTGGCTCACACACCGACTAGTTTAGCACTGGCGTATCTTCGACTGATTGAGCGGTTTGTAAATATGGGTTGCCTTTCTTGATTTTCATTTCACGTCCTTCCCGCAGCCTGAGCCATAGAGACCTCAAGGTATTGGACCCATGCTGCTTTAAAGGACTGAAAAACTTGGAGAGTCCTCGATGTCTCGAGGAATTCGCTGAGGGACGTCCCCAGTCTTGGCCTTCCGAAACTTCGGTGCCTGAATGTGGAGGAGAACTTGATCAATGACTTGACCTTCCTGAAAGACTACGGCGAATTGACGGAGCTGATGGTTGCTGGCAATCCCATTCTTGTGAGTGGTGCAATTTCGACTGTATATTTTCGAACACGTACAATCCATTCGACTTTACTGAAGCGAATTTCGCATACTTATAATGATAGCGCGCTGTTCGCTTCCAGTGTATTATTACAACCTTGGCTTAATGACGCTCGGTGTTTTAATTCGGACGGGCTGCTTGGCCTGGCTGAGTGGTGCTATAACAATGTTCTCTCCATGCGAAAATGCTGATGTTAAAAAAGTAGAGAGAGAGAGAGAGAGAAACGAAAGCATGGAAAAGAGGTACATGAAGGGTACGAAACAATTAAAGTTGTGAACTCATCACGATCAGTGCAAAAAAAGGAACACGAAAACGCAAGGAAGTGCACATCCTTGTGTTTCCGTGTTCCCCTTATTTTTTTGCTCTGATCATGATGAGTGAGTTCTAACTCGCCAGATTTGCTACTTTACCAAAGTTGTGTAGTTCTGCAGTTGTTTGTGTTGACACAAGCACACTAATCGCTCATGCATTCATTGCAGCATGCGACTAACAGAGAAGGTTTCCTTTTCAGAAGGCTGTTTCTGCATTATTGGCCAATGTTAGGATGCACCACTCAAGATGCAAGTTTCAGTTACATAAATCCAATGGTGGCAGGTCGCATTTCTAGCGCACACCATTCATGGGAACAGTGACAGTGTGCTAAGGCTATGTTAATGTGCCAGGAAAAGTGCACGTTGATAGGAATAAGTTGTCTTATATGGCGCACGTGACACATGACATCGCGAAAGAATGCAAATAGTGAAATTACTGCTGCTGGTGTGTACTTTCCTTCTCTTACCAATGAGGAAATAGCGCGTGAAACATGTTTTGGCTCACTTCAAGTGTAACGAAATGTAAAGCTACACACAACTGCTAATGTAAAATGTCACTGTGCTATGCAAGGAAATGCACTCTGCTGCTTTCTCAGTGCAGTTTCAGATCTATCTGGTAGCAATTTCGTCACTGTGCCATTGGTCAAGCACAGAGTGTTTACATGAGGTATGTCATTAATACAGGCCTTTAATGTTAAATTTCATTTTGAAGTTTGTGTAGGCCGTTCGCACAAGATCTAAGCACATTTATGGCATTATGCCTGCATATCCGTATGAATGTTGAAATGCTCTTTAAAGGAAGGCCTCAGAAGTTTCTTTTTTCATTGTGAATTTTTATGTGCTTACAGTGACTCAATGTCTTGTGTAGTCTGCTATTTCGAGGTGTTGTATTATCTTTAATTTTGTACTGAGGTTTCGTTATATTCATCAGGCTTATATATGTAGTGTGATTCATTTATGCAATTTTTTTAATAGGTAAACTTTATTTCAGATGTGTCCTGTCTTCAGCACTTTTCTTGGCTTTGTGAAGTGCTGAGCTTTGTTGCATTGATGATCATCTTAACTCATTAAAGGCGTGCCGTCGTCACAAATGACGTGCTGTGCTTTGCTTTTCTGACTCCTGCTTGGATTTTCTTTTCTCAAGAACAGTCAGCTGACAAGAACATCGCTGTGTCCCTGCTTCCCAAGTTGACTCTGTTGGACGGAGCTGACTGCCAGCCTTTTAGGAAACTTGAAGCACTCGGCGACAAGAAGCTGTTGCCTCAGGTGCAGTTATATGCAATTTGTCTAACGACTTACAAAGCAGGGAGGTTGTTCCATTGTCAAGAAAGTACCTGGAGGAAAAAAGGAACATGCAAATCCAACTCAGTATTCGAATCCCTATGATGTTAGGCATGTTTCACTTAACAGGGTGACAACAGTAGGTGGAACCCGCCATGACGGTCCAGTGGTCATGGCGCTCAGCTGGTGACCTGCAGTTCACATTGCGATTCGCAACCTGCAGTTTGTGGTTGTGATTCGTGGCAACGGCATTTTTATGGAGGCGAAAATGCTTGAGGCCCGTGTACTTTGACTTAGGTGTACACTAAGGAACCCCAGGTGGACTAAATTTCTTGAGCCCTCGGCTACGAAGTCGTCATGATCACATGGCGTTTTATTTAGAATGTTAAACCCTAACAGTTATTATTATATTAACAGTAGGGGGTGACAAGTGAATGAAGGTCATTTCTGGTGTTTCTACAGCAGTTCGTTATGTGTCCCCTTCTTTGATGCCTTCTGTTTTTTTTGCTTTGTTTTTAATGATTTGCATACATTTGTATCCTTCATTCCTGGCCAACGTTGATCTTGCCTAGTTTTCATTCCTTTTACTTCTTGATCACAATGCTGTATCATTCGTGATTTTGCTCGAATTGTCCTTGTTCCCTAGAATTTGTGCTAATATTAAAACATTAGTTGGTGAGCAAAATGCAAATGTACTGGATTAAGCAAGTTTTCAAAGTCCTGACTTTGGGCATGTCTCTAAAGATCAGGTGGGCATTCTGAAGCCGATCTTGTCCTTGTATTTTTGAATTCAGTTGAAGTACCGAACATCTCATTTATTAATATAGCATCCTGCAGCCCATTTTCGGAGAGGTGTGCTTCATGTATGCCGCTTTTTCTACTTCAAAATCACCTCAGATCTGTCTGTCTGCTCTCAAAGTTCTGGTGAAATGTCCTGCGCTTTTCATCTTCAGATTTCTCGAGTCTGGGAATCCACGTTCAAGGACAATCTTCTTCCTGGAGCCAGTGATGAAGAGGTCAGCAGCGTGAAGAAGGATTTTTTGAGGCACTTGAGGAGAACGCATTTCGAATGCAATGAATTTTCCGTCAAGTTCAAGAAATTTAAGGTCTGTGTGTTGAACTTCATTTAGCTTGTCACTAAATGTGTGGTTTATGCTAGGTTGGCAATGCTTAAGGCTTTATTGGACTCAATTCCTGCTGTGGTTTTTAGGAATCATTCCTCTTGCTCAATTCAACAGTGTGGCCTGCACATACCAAAGCAGTTAAGCTTTGACTAGCATGAAAGTTGTGGTGGGGAAGGAAGGTATTGTGGAAGTAAGGTACTAATTAATATTTCTGGAAGTGTAAACTATACATTAAGATCATTTGAAAACGAATACATTGCATAAGTTTACAGGTCCCACTTGTGCATCAGGTGTGCAAAGAGATTGCAGTTTGACTGCTCCATTGCATATTGGTCAAAGACATCAAGAGACTCATCAGGGCATGAAATGAGGTGGCACTTTGCCAAAAAATTGATGCACAAGTGGCAGCGCTTTCACTTCATCGGTTCATGTGGTTATGTCATAACCACCTGAAACGAAACCTGGAGGGACCGGGATAATATGTTCCGTTTAACAGGTGTTTCGTTTACTGAGAGATGAACAAGGGCGTAGAATACAAGAACAAAACCAATCTTGCCAGAAGCACCTGTTTCGTTTAAGCAGCAGTTTCATTCAACAGATTTCTGTTTACTGAGAGCGTACTGTACCTCTCTTCTTTCAGAGGGCATGGCAAAGACGTGTGCTCATCTCGCAGAATACAGCATAGCGTACTATTTGATAAATTTCCAGCATTCCATTTCAGCATTAGAAGAGCTGAGTGTTTAAATGTCTCACAGAAGTACCAGATGTCATAAAACAGGAGGCCTGTGCTGAAAGGCATAATATAGATTACAATTTTCCCTTTTTTTTTCGTTTTCAGAGTGCAGAAAACTTCTTTCCCAGCTGATTTGGCATGCATTTACACATGGCGCAACTCCCATTAATTTGTTTCAGGTGGAAGCTCTTGGTGGAGAGTTGTTTGAAGAGGAAGTTCAAAGGATTCGCGCAAGAACCTCCTCGAACACCCCAAAAAAGAAGAACAATGTCAAGCCCTCAGAAGAATGCAGCTCTCCTTCCAAGCGCGTCACATCTCCAAGGAGAGAGCGCCTCAGTGATTACGAGCTTCTCAGCAGCAGACCTGTCATACGCGGGTCTGGCGTGAAAGTAAACTCTCCACGACACGAGGCACGGAGTCTAAAAATATCAGCTGATGTCAATGCATTGAATGGCTCCCCCCGCAAAATGTCAACTGAATTCAATGCATCGAATGGCTCCCCCCGCAAGCGAGTTGCATCGCCTAAAAAAATTATCAATCTAAAAGATGGGAAGCAAGGCGTACCCAGCTTTCATAAACAGGACAAAACAGCAAGCCTGCTTGACGGTGGTACTCATGAATTGAAGGGCTCGGCAAACAATGTCTCATCAAGCGATGCGCAACGGTCATGTACACCGAGGAAAAAGCTGAAATATGAAGTTGCTCCTTCAAGAGAAAGAAAAGGTGTGTATCTTTCATGTGTACAGTCCACCACAAAATTATATGGGCCGCACGAGCGCGTGGCGGAATCGCCGTCTACGCTGTCTAGTGGCGAGCCTGGCGGAACAGCCATGTAGACGAAATTTCCCTATACACTTGTGTCGTCTACATTATTTTGTGGCTGGCTGCACCTCCTTAGCCCTTTTGTTTTGTAAGAATCAAGGGCTTGTCCCGTGTAAAGATGGGCTCGCTCTCCTTTTAGCTGAATCCTGATAATTTTTTTCAAGTTTCTGTGTTTCAATCTGTGTTTCACAGAAAATTTCTCCAAGGAATGCATTGAATCCTTAAGGGATGAAGTTGTTTCAAATAAATAGCTTGCATGAAAGTTGTGTGGTTTTGTAAAATAATAATAATTTCTGATCAATACATTTGATGGATAGCTGTAGGTAAAAGCTGCTATCCGAAAGAGGCTGCTTGACAAGGGCCCACATCCGCCTTTGAACACAACCGCAGTGGCAACCAGTTCAGCAGTACAAACTCAAATAACAGGAAACAAAACAAATGAATGCCAAATTCCAAAAAATAAAAATACCCCTAATAACAATATAGCAACTGCAGAGATAAAGTAAAAACTGAACTTGTGTATTTTGCGCAATTGGGTCTGTGTAGTGTAAGAAATCTATGCCAGCTTTAATGTATTACTTTAAGTAACCTAGAAACTATGTAGGATAACTTATCTTTGGAGTAGATTTTTTTTGGAAGTTTTTATTTTTCGTGTTTATTTCATGTATCATACAATTTAATATTTGGCTGTAGTTTTGAGATGTCGTGCAAGAAATGTCGACTTTGTTTGGATTCACGCCTGATGGCCAATGCTAATTTAAAATCGTAGAGGTGATGGACGGGTAGGATTCCAGCCTGTTGAAACAATTCGGTGGTGGTAGCATCATACGGTAAGTTAAAAATGTTTCTAATATACTTCTTTTGCATCAGGTATAGTTTTTACAAGTTCGTGTTAGTTGTAGACCCCCATACCAAAAAACAATAGGTAAGATGCAAATAGAAAAGTGATGTATAAAGTAAGAGATTTATTCTGTATGGTAGCACCATTTTGTATCTGTACACCATACCCACTAGGTGCGATAACTGACCCAGCACACTGTCAACATGTTCGTTCTAAAACATATTGATAGAAAATGTAACTCCAAGAATTTTCATACGTTATACTAGCTCAATATAAGTATTGCCATAACTAAGATACAGTTTCCGTTCACAGGCTTATTTTTGGGTCAAAATAGCACTGCTTTTGTTTGTGGCTGGCTGCTATTAATTAGTTTAAGATATTTTCACTGCACACACTTGGTGCACGTTCTTGTTAGAATGGTTTTCCTTGATCTGCTGAATTCGCTGCCCTTAATACATGGATGAGCAGTTTGATGTTACCCCTGCGGTGGTACCTAAGGGTGACTACGTTCTCGCAGAGATCAGGCGTGATTTATGAAATGAACTCTGTAGTATCACTGTTGAGTGTCACTAATTTGAGTGTTCCTTTATTGTTGTCAAGCTTCTGAGCAAATTTGTAACTCGATAATTGCTCTGTGCATTCCAAGCCGGTTGCTAGTGGCACTGGTTGAGATTTGCTGCTTATTTATGTTGTCATGGGTCATTTGTGTGCTATAGGACTGTAGAAAGGCTTTTTCCTTTGTATTTAATATTTGTTGTGCTTTTGGTTGTGAGAATTATATTGCGTTATTTAGGTCTTTATCTCGATTGTATGTGCTCAGCAGCTTGGTAGAAAAGAATGATATCAATTCTCAGTTTTTTTACTAGCTGACACCATGACTTGATTGTGAGGTGTGATGTTGTGGAGCACTCCAATATAATTTTGACGCTCGAAATTCCTTAACATGCATTTATATATAAATGCAAACGAGCAATTTCGCATTTTGCTTCTCTTAAAAAGCACCAACCATGTCTCTGATTGATTTGACAGAATTCAGATTAATACTGTAGTTTTTGTACTGTAGTACTGTACTGTACTGTAGTGCCACGCCTACTGAGCTACTGCGGAAGATACATTTGATTGTACATTTGTGTGCTTTAGTGAGAAAATGGAGAGTTGGTAATACAGCTCGCATGTTCATATTTCTTTTTTATATTTGCAAAAAAAACGTGTTTTCAATTTGTCGCAATCGCAATGTCTCACAGGGAAGTGTAAAAGGGGCTGAAGCGTGCATATTTCTTCGTGCCCATTCTCAAGATCCCGCTGATTCTGTAACTCAAGTATGGCAGGCTGCCTTTCAACCAAAATGTGAAGAAAATGGTATGCACACTTTAACATTTGCTGGTTTCTCTATGTGCATTCACACATTTCGTGTCAAAATTTTATTTTCTTGCCCCCCCCCCACCCAAAAAAAAAACAAACTTCCAGGCCATATTGTAATAATGCAAGTTCTTTTGCATGCCTCAGGTCACTGTGTTTGCTTAATTTTCAAATTTATTATGATTCATAATCATATATTCTGTGCAATTGTCATGGAACATTCAAACTATAATAACAATATGTTAAAGGTTATTAAAAATTTTTAAAAGACGAATGAAAAAAACAATGTGTATTTTAGAAAATGCATGCTTATTAGAAATGTTTCAATAACATGTAGTAAGGCTTCCGAAAATTTCTGTCTTGTGTTTATCCTGATGCCTTTTTGCACTTCTGTCAGCCTTGCGAGTCACAGCAAGTGAACTAGTGCCAACAATATGTTCTGACTGAATCTTAGATGACATCTGTAGCCATTGTTGGAGCCTTCTTTTATTGTTGATGTTTATATATCATGTCAGTGCTGACATCTTGACTAATCCACACAACATTCCTGTTTCTGTCACCTTCTGAAGCAACTCCATTTCCCCTATTTAGGATGCTGAAATTTTCTAATGTAATTAAGTATGCACATAATTTCAACACCATTGTTTCATAAGGAGCTATAGCATAGATCAGGGGTCTTGAACTCGTCTCAGCAAGTAGGTCGCAGTCATGGCATTTCGTCTCCCGCAAAGGCCAGCACAATGACGAAAGTTGGAGCAAGGAAAAGAAGATATCAATACTGACACATCCTGTTGAATGACTGAAATGTAAAAGCACTTCTAAAATATGGAGGTTTTGTCCCACAGGTTATGTTTTATTGCAAGGTGTGGAGTGCCTCACGAAAAAAAACAAAGAAAGATCCTTGAGACCAGTCATGTCTGTGTGGCATGTGAACACACTTGTTAAGAGGAGAATAATAATAATATTAATATTAATAAGCTATGTGATCGAGACAGTCGTTTGCGAGCTGAGGCCCATGTGTTCTATACCTCAGTTGTAGATAATATGTGCAGTTGACTCATGCTGTGTCGGTTCAACTTTCAGATCTGTCGCCCAACATTTTTGCAACATGCGGTGGTAGAATTGTCAACTTCATTGACGCCAGCACAGGAACTGTTCTGAAACGCTACAGGAGTGCCAACATGAAGGAGGTAAGGAGACACACACACTTTTACTTGTTTATATTTGTTGCCTGGACATTCAATACAATATCTGCTGCTGTGTGAAAGTGAGGGTCTCTTGTCGCGTCGGTGCATATTGGTGGGTTCCTTGGAAATGAGAGAGTGTAGAGTGTAGAGCAGTTGTTGTGCAAGAAAGAAAATTAGGGTGCATAAAAAATTCGACAAAGCATACGTTGGCAAGCTCGTTCATAAGTCGACTCACTCGGACTCGCTCAGACTTGGATTGAGGTGCGAGTTTAAGTCTGAGTGAGCCCAAGTGAACAATAATTTGGTGAGTTTGAGTCCCAGTGAGCCCGGTCTGAAAAAATTTCCATGATTCCAAGTCCAAGTGAGTTCTTCGTGCAAGATATACTTCCTGAATGAGTTTCACAATTTTTCTCTACCTATGTTTCACAGAGCAATTGTGTTTTCGTACTTGTAGATTGTGGAAGCATTCTCTTCTAAGGGATATTAGTGCTTGAACTTGGATAACTACAACAAGTTAAGTGGTCTACGTATATATAAAAAAATACCTGATTGAAGAACTGCCAAGCTTCGCACGTGGTAATAGTAGTACATAACTGCATTTAGCGTGACTCATTCCTTTATGCTTGGCTGTTATACACAGCAACATGCTTGTGGCAGAATTTATGCTTTTGAAAAGATGCAGGTTTAAGCTGGGGGATTAGAATAAATGGTCTTGATGTAGTCATTGACTGCTGTTCAGCATAATTTCCTTGACAAGACTTTGAGTTTTGTCAAGGAAGTTATGCCCTGCAGCACTTCTTCATAATGGTAAGAAAATGCAGAAAATGCGATAGGAAGTTAAGGTTCTTGAAAACACGCGAGCCAAACATTACTGCACAACACATGGCCTGGAATTTGCATTCAGTTCTCAAAGTCAGCTAGAAATCCCTCGCTCTTCTCTCTATTCACTATGCCCTAAATCGAAGTCCGTGTTCACTGACTGATTGGAGCATCATAAGCAGTATAGACTGTATAGTTATCATGGCCGGTGCAGGATGCCGCCATGTCCCCACGTGTGTATTCACAATCACACTGGAAGTTAGTTGCGCATTTAAAGAAAGAAAGTTGGCCCCGTATCTGTGTGTTTCGTTGCATAGATGTCGAAAGACGATAGTCCTTTGTCTAGAAATGCTGCATGATATATGGATGCCATCTGGCAGCAATGCCAAAGGACTAGTTTTCTAGAATGCAGAGCAGATGGTAGGTGGCTGCGCCGTGTTGTTTTAGCGAAGTGTAAGAAACACTTGCTTTTTCATTGAATGGGCTCTTATTATCTGGATACACATTCACTGCAATATAATAAGGGCCCCAACCATCATCACTGTCACCAAAGTCATGACAGCGAGCGTAGAGCAGCAAAGAATAATAGCTACCACCAGTGGTATCTGTCTCCCAGGTTGACTCCATTGCTACTTGCATACTTGAGATGGTGTTGCAGGGCCCTGTAAAACTAGGGGCCTGCCTCAAGGAGAAAGTGCTTGAAGTGTGCGGCAAGTTTCTGTTATTTATTCTCGAAGGATTTTAAACTTTTTGTGGCAGTCAATTCATGAGGAAATAAGCTATTTTAATGAAGCCATTCGGTGCATTCTTGAAACAAGTGTTCCAAGTGATGATAATATTGGAGGGGTGGGGGGTTGTCGGGTGATGAGGATATTACTCTGTTCTTATGGCATCTACATCGAAAACCTTCTTATTCTTGGTGAGGGCTTCATGGGTTTAACATTTCTGAGTATTAGCTACTATGTGCTTCCTGTCTTGTCTATCCTGTCGTGCTTACTCCCTCACACACTGTGACACAAAGCACATAGGTAAAATGAGGCTTTACCGAAGCAGCGTTGGCTTCCCTGAAATTTCTTGAAACGTATTTTTGCAGTTTCAGAGTAAAACGAGTTTTCGCGAACCAAGATATACCGCATTGCTCCAAGAACACCCTCTGTTAAATTGCTCTGGTATTTCTTTTTGGTGTCCATTTGAGCTGCGTTCTAAAAACAGTGGCACCCAATGGGACTTATCTCTGTTGAAATTACACTCAAACCTCATTATAACAAACACAGATATAATGAAATATTAGTTATAACAAAATAAATAAGAAATGGTCTTGCAGTAGATAAGTGTTAGAGATAGCTTTTATAATGAGGTTTTGGATATAACGAGCTTAAGTTCTTGCAAGATGCAACTTTGTTATTATGAGGTTTGAGTGTATCATTATCTATGTTGTGTGGCTTGTCTTGCTGTAATGCCGCATGCACAGGGCTTCCAGGCAATAAACAGTGTGCACACACAATTGGCATTCTTTATGGATGAGTAGTAGCAAGTGCCGAGTTTTTTCTGAAAGGAAACGCAAGGAAGGTTTTTGTTGTTTGATTGATAGACACCTTAAGATGTGTAGTCTAGGAATGAGTAAATAGTAAATTTCAGGGTTGAAGCAAATAGTGACTTGATGTACTTATTTTGTATTGAATAGTTCCAATAGATATATGACATATAAAAAGAAATGACCATTTTTTGATGACCCAACCAGCACAGTATTTTCAAGAACTAGGCTCTTTGTTAGTTAGTGACACTTTGTTAGTTTGAAGTGAAGGGGAAGCAAGAAGTGAATAGTAAACTCAAAGTCATAAGTGGTAAGATATGTTACGCTTTAAGATTTACCATGCTTAGCTGATAAAAGTTTGTATAATGAGCTTTCAAGCTTTAAAAATTATTTTATTGAGGTGATGGTAGTATGTTAATTTAACTTGAGGTATACCTACATGGCTATGTTTATTTCTCCTGGAGAGGTGGTTTTTAGCATATCACCATCTTACTACAGTGAAATCTTCTTTACAAGGTAAGGGAGGGGGTTACTTGTGGTTGAATATATGATATAACCTCATTATAACGAAGTAACGTCTGACATGAAAATAAGTTGGTTATGTCCAAGAATACAATATCTGTGTCTGCATGTGCATTCACTTATTCCTTGTCAGAATTTCCTTACCCCTTTAAAAATAAAACAAAAAAAGAAACTTGCAAGTCAGTAGCGCAAGTTCCTTCACATGCCTCAGATCACTTGCAAATTTATATTTGCGAATATGTGTCTATGACAAAACTATTCTCCACTTATTTTGTTATAACCGATAATTGCCATGAAATGCTAAGTAACCTCTCTCTCTCTCCCCCCCCCGACAGTGAAGGATAATCTGGCCAAATATGGGGTGCTTGCTCGGCCCCGGTCTGATCATTGGAGCTTGATTGGCGTTTATTTCAGATCTCGCTAAAAACTGAGGGGTTCGCTTGCTCCGCATTTTATGGTAGTTATATCCATGCTTGTTATATTGCGGTTTGAGCGTACATCTATTCATTCATTTCGAATACTGTGTTATTTGCTTTAATATTCGCCCATGTATGGCGTAACCGTTTTCAAAGTGCTCTTATTAACAGATGCGGAAACGCGCTTTCCTGTTTAGGAATTCTTTTGCCTGGCATGGACGGTGCTACCCATTGGCGGGCACCCGAGCGCAGTGCTTGCTGTGGCAGGCAAAGCACGCGAGGTGAGCCTCGTCCACCCTGTGCAGCTCGTCTGCTACAAGTCGTTCCAGGCGCATACCAAGTACATCAACTGCCTGCACTTCTGCCCAAGCCAGCCCACTTGGCTGCTCAGTAGGTGGCCCCGTTCTAACCTCCCAGTTGGCTTCACTTTGGACGGTACCACATTGATTCGCGTAATGATCACACCATGATCGCACCGAGGGTGGGACCGATCACGGCCTGCATTCGACCAAGCAACAATGTCATGTGATGACGTGAACATGTGACATCATAGTGATGTCATGGTGACATTGGATTTTAAGGATTTGTGACTCATGACGTCATATGATGGTTTCACCATCTTTTTGCATCATTTGTGTTGACGCCAGTTATCAATTTCGGCCATCAATGAGAAGCCTCCGCCTTTAAAATGTGTGAGATCAGGGGATGCGATCGTTATGAGTGATAAAATGTTCTCCAAGAAGAACTGAGTTGTGCAGCTTGGAATTTATATTTTTTTATCATTCAAGACACCAGTAACCAAGTACACCCTGAACTCAATTTCACAATCTGTTTGTGATTTTCTTGCTATTTTTGTTTTTTTGTATTAATGTATTGGAACTCTAGATTGTTCTTTCAAATCTTTTCCATTCGTGACTGGGTTCCGAGAGTAGGAAGCTGGATGAGAATGAATGGTTTACATGGCCAATATGACATCTTTGATAAGTTGGGCTTACTGGCTCAAGTTGCCTAAGCATCTTCAGCAACACTTTTTCTTTCCTTCCTGTGCGTTAACTACAAGTCCAGTGTGCTTTATTTTCTCCAGGTGGTGGCAATGACGACAACATTCACCTTTGGGACATTGGCGTTCCCAAAGCACCTGGTTATCAAACAAAAATTGTGTACGTTACTTTGCATTTATTTTCCTTCTTAAGTTTGCCTTATGTTTTGCTTCTGTTCTGCTTCTGTTTTCTCCTGCCTGTTCTCTATTTTTGTAGCAAACTCGATGATCAGATACTAATAAGCTTAGCAGCATCGGTATTGTTTTTGTCTAGTCGATTAAGAAAGTACTCTTTCTCCAGTTTATTTGGTATTATAGCTATCATTCAAACAAAACTGTACTGCAAAGTGCACTATTTTTTTACTTCAGGTGGCAGATTGGCTTTGCATTCTTTGCTGCAGAGCATAAGCGGTGATAATATATTACTTCATATTATTTGTAGACCGCCCGCAACATAGAATCTGAGTACATATTGTTACACACAAGGAGGACCAGGGCGTATGCGGCTGAAGGGGCCGTTTATCTTGGTCGCGAAGAGAAGCGCTGGAGCGGCCAACAGGTTGACGATCGCAGTGTCGTCTTCTTCCTTCTTTTTCCAGCTTGGGGCTGCCAGCATGTTCACCCATCTTCGTTTTCTTCCCAGGCATGCGCAACATTCCTTCCCTCGCAAACGAAGCCCGCCGGGCGAGGTAATTGATTCACCTTGGTGTGTACAACTTCAGTCGAGCGACATGGACTGCTTGGGTTTTAGCGGCTCTTCTACCACTTCTCGTGAGGCGAGCTATTGTGTACGTGACTTCAGTGATTTTGTCGAGAACAACAAACGGTCCGTCATATGTGGCCAAGAACATTTAGCATAACCCGCGTCTTCGTACCGGAGTCCAGAGCCACACTGTCGCCTAGATGATAAGTTACAGGCCGGTGGCGGACGTCGTAGCGTGCCTTCGATTTTTCCTGTGATGCCAAAGTGCGTAGACGAGCGATACGACGCACCTCTTCTGCAAGGCAGAGGATTTCAGCGACTGAGAGGTTCTCGTGCGCCGAGAATAGCAAAACTGTCTCGAGTGTGTGCCGTTGCGGTTGTGCATACATCAAGAAAAAGGGGCTATAGCCTGTTGTCTCATGCTTAGCGGTGTTGAACACTGTACGTTATAAATGGTAGCACATCATCCCAGTTCTTGTGGTCGGATGCCACATACATAGAGATTATGTTTACGATTTTGCGGTTGGCGCGCTCCGTGAGCCCATTTGTTTGCGGATGGTATGGCGACGAGTGACGAAAGCGGGACTCGCTCAATCGAAGCAGCTCTTCTACTATATCTGCCGTGAATTGTCGTCCACGATCACTGATGATCACGTGAGGTGGGCCATGTCGGAGGATAACGTGCTGCAGCAGGAACACAAAAACGTCGCTGGCAGTTGTGGTTGATATGGCCGCTGTCTCGCAGCAGCGTGTGAGGTAATCGACGCATACAATTAATTATCCAGCGATTGCCCTTAGCCGACTTTGGAAAAGGGCCCACGAGGTCAATGCCCACCTGTTGAAAATGTGTGCTTGGAGGTGGCAAGGGCTGTAGAAGACCAGCCGGAGCAGTAGATGGGCGTTTGTGGCGTTGACACTGCGTGCAGCTGGCCACATACGTCCTCGACTGACTGTCGCATTCCCGGCCAATAAAAACGTTCCTTAGCACGGTAAAGCGTCCGCGCAGAACCTAAATGTCCGGACGTAGGATCATCGTGCATAGTACTTAAAATTGCTGTCCGAAGGCTTTCCGGCACTACCAGGAGGAAACGTGCGCTAGTGCTGGAAAAGTTCTTATACAGGAGTCCGTCGCGTACACAGAAATGGCATGTCGTAGGAGCTGTGCAGAGCAATGATAGCCTGGTGTCCTTTTACTGTTCATCTTTGAAAGTACTGAGGTCGGGAAACTTTGGTGACACAGAAGCTACGAGGGGGTCGAGGTTATCGGCGTCACACTCTGTAGTGCTCAGTGGCATGCGGGAAAGGCAATCTGCGTCGGCGTGTCGTCGACCACTTTTGTACGAGACTATAAAGTTATACTCTTGGAGCCGGAGTGCCCAGCGCGCTAGGCGGCCGCAAGGGTCCCGAAGGTTGACGAGCCAACACAATGAGTGGTGGTCGGTGACGACTGTAAAAGGGCATCCATATAGGTAAGACCGAAACCGCTGAATCGCAAATACTACCACGAGGCATTCTTGCTCTGTGACAGTGTAATTCTGCTCGGGCCTACTCAAGGAGCGACTTGCGTATGCGATCACATGCTCGCGGTTACCATAGCGTTGAACTAGGACGGCACCAATTCCTATGCCACTTTGGCATCCGCGTGTAGTTCTGTTGGAGCTGATGGGTTGAAGTGTTGCAGAACAGGCCGCGTCGTCAGGAGGAACTTCAGTTGTCAAAAAGAGGAGTCGCACTCCGGAGTCCACTCGAAGGGAATAATGTTCCGTAGCAAACATGTCAGCGGATATGCGACATCGGTAAATTTAGGTATAAAGCGGCGAAAATAGGAGCAAAGCCCAAGAAAACTGCGGAGCTCCTTAACAGAGCGCGGTGCACTGAACGTTTCAACGGCGGCTGTCTTCTGGGGATGTGGACGGATGCCATCCTGATCGACTAGGTGTCCGAGAACAAGGGTCTGTCGGTCTCCGAAGTGGCATTTATTTGAGTTAAGAACAAGGCCAGTGCTTCTTATGCAAGTCAGCACAGTATCCAGACGTGAATTGTGTTCGCTGAAGATGCAGCCAAAGATGACGACGTCGTCGAGATAGCACATGCAAATGCTCCACTTCAAGCCATGAAGAACAGTGTCCATAAATCGCTCGAACGTCGCCGGTGCGTTGCACAGTCCAAATGGCATCACGTTGAATTCGAAGAGGTCGTCAGGGGTTACAAAGGCTGTCTTTTCTTTATCTTCAGGATGCATGGGAATTTGCCAGTAGCCCGATCTTAAGTCTACAGAGAAAAAGTAATAGGCCGAATGTAGACAGTCTATGGCATCATCAATACGTGAAAGTGAATACACGTCTTTTTTTGTTACAGCATTCAGTCGGCAATAATCGACGCAAAATCTCCAGGATCCGTCATTCTTTTTAACGAGAGTTACTGGGGCTGCCTATGGACTCGCTGACTCTTGAATGACTCCGTTTTGAATCATTTCATTCACCTGCTCATTTATTAATCCTTCGCTCGAATGGCGAAACACGGTATGGCTTTTGTCTAATCGGATTGGCCAAACCAGTGTTGATGGTGTAACATGTCCGAGAAAGCAGGGATTAATGGCGCTTTGTCTTTCTGCGCAAAGTCGAATGTAGAAACGTGCTTCGAAAGTACATTCACCAATGTTCGGCGTTCACTTGTGGTCAGCAACTTATCAACCATAGACATAAGAGCCATTTCCAAACTGTGACTACGATGCTCTTCCGGCGCATCTCTAAGCTCGGTCACCAGTAAGGCCTCGTGTTGTCCACTGACGACGGCTAACTTTAGACCATTTGGTAACACCACGGGTTCTGTGGAGCAATCGACAGTCCATAAATCAGTGCATCCACATCTGATCGACACCACACAATGTGGGATCAACACATTCTTTTTCGTGCAGTTGGTGTACACTGGTTCAACGTTGGCATCAAAGTTGGCAGAATAGCTGTCGCTGCAACACGAACGGTTGATAACGGTGGTATGATAGTGTCGCCACAGACACACAATGCCGGCTCACCATCTACAGGGTTTTCCAAGAGTGCTGGTGGAACCTGATCACTCAAGAATATTGTCCCTGTGCGACAGTCGACAGTCGCACCACACTCCCTCAAAAAGTTCATACCCAAGATAACATCATGTGTTGCCTGTGGAATAATCGCGAACTTCCTTGGGATAACGTGGCCTCCGAGAAACACGGCAGCTTGACACACACCAACAGGATGCAGTGGCTCACCACTCACTCCGCAAAACATCGAAGCTTGATTTCACTTAAATAAAACCTTCCGTTCCAAGGTATCTTTAAAACATGCACTCATGACAGAAATTGTTGCCCCCATGTCCACCAAAGCCATCACAGGCACATCGTCAACAAAAACACATACTTTGTACTTGAGCATAAACACAGGAGGTATTTCTGGTATTAGCACGTCTTCGGCGACCTCACCTCCATCGGCCGCGCTTCCTAGTTTTCCTGTGGCAAAGGAGACGTGTTGCGACGCCAGTGGTGAAGGAGAACGGGGAACGCGAGGCAGTGGAGGCGTCAACTCCTGGCAGGTGTAGGGGAGTGGTTCCGGAAGCTGCGTGTCCAGTAGTCTTGCGGGGCAGCAGGTTTGTTGCCCTAGGGTCGTCGTGCGGTCAATCAAATGATCGTGTGGAGTGTTGTGGTGGGCCATAGTACGTTGCTCGGGGGTCATCGCGAAGTCGTTCGGAAGGCCGTGCAAAGTGTGGTGGGTGGCCATACCAGTGGGGCTACACGTCGACGGTTGCAAAATCGCGAAATATGTCCTAATACACCACAGGAGTAGTAAACTGTGAGAGGTCGAAACTCTGTTCGTCAATGAACCGAACATCGTCTTCCCTGGCGTAGTGGGTCGTTTCGTCCCGTATATCATAGGGATAGACCGTGCGTCGCAAAGAAGGCGGATGCTAGGGGGCGCCGGTCATGGCGAAGGAGCTGGCAACCGTGGTGCTCTCCTTGGCTGTGGAGGTGCGCTGTACTCAACAGTTGCTGCACTAACCATCGATTGCCAAGGGGTCGTAGAAGGTGGTGGCGCAATCACAGCCTCACGTGGCACATATAACGAATGTTGGTTGTTTACAGAATGGTGATCAACTGCTGAATGTGTCTGTTCTCTATAGCGAAAAAGTTTTTCGCGAACAATCTCTCGAAGTCGTCGAGGACAGATCTGGGCAGGTGCTCGTGTCGATGCTGGCAACTGTTGTAACATTTGTGAGCCGGCCGAACTTTGGAGCAATCCTGCGCATTTTCAGCTGTTCGAAAGTTCGGCAATGCCGAATGACGTCGGACACCGAGCTCAGATGCTCTTTTCCGATGAGAAAATTATAGACATCCTCGGCTATGCCTTTCAGCAAATGTCCTACTTTGTCTTCTTCTGACATCTGATCATTGACCACCTTGCAGAGCTTCAGCACATTCTCCTATATACGTGGTACATGTCTCACCTGGAAGCTGCGCGCGTTCAGACAATGTCTGCTCTGCCCGCTTCCTTTTGACGCTCGAGCCGCCGAAACACGCTTTCAGCTCTGCAACAAAAACGTCCCACGTCGTCAGTGTGTTCTCGTGGTTTTTGTACCACACGAGCGCAGTATCCGTAAGGCAAAAGACCGCATTGCTGAGCTGAGCGGCGGCATCCCAGCCGTTGGACTTGCTGACTCGCTTGTACTGGACGAGCCACGCGTCGACATCCTCTCCCGATTTTCCTCCGAAGGTTGGCGGGACTCGGTAGTAGGGCACTGAACCCATTGGAGTTGGCCTTGAAGCGTTAGATGGCTGATCTTGGGCTATTACGATCGGCGCAGGCGGGAGTCCGGCAAGCCAGCGGCTGCGGCGTAGTCCTGGTAGTGAAGCTCCCATCGTTGGGCATGTCTTACCCAGCACGCTTCCACCAATCTGTTACGCACAAGGAGGACCAGGACATATACGGCTGAAGGGGCCGTTTATTTTGGTCACGAAGAGAAGCGACGGAGCGGCCAACAGGTTGACGATCGCAGTGTCGTCGTCTTCCTTCTTTTTCCAGCTTGAGGCAGCCAGCATGTTCACCCATCTTCGTTTTCTTCCCAGGCATGCGCAACAATATTATTTGTAGACTGCCCACTATATGAAATCTGGGCTTGGTCGCTCTTTCTACACCTGAAGGGCAATGTTTAGTTGTCTCTGTGTGTTAGTTAACTTATTATACCTTTGCAATGGCTTTTACCTCCATAAGAGCAACATGCACATACTAACGTTGCTTGCTTTTCTTGTAGGAACCTGCTCACCCTGAAACCAAAGTGCGAGATCTTGCAGCTATGTGTCAGCACTCGGAATGAAATGCTTCTGGCTGCATGCCATGGTGGGCTGTTTGGCTGGAAGTTTGACCAAAAGTCTCTCGTGAAAGTAGACAGGTTTGTACCTGGATCGTTAATTTGCTTTGCTTTGGCTAAAGAAATGCACTCAAACGCCTTTATAAGAGGCATTGATGCAAGAGACAAATGGGTATATTATAAGACACCAGTGTGCTTACACTGAAATAGGGTTTGAGAAGAAAATTGCCTACGTGGTACCCTGCTTATAAGAAACACCTCATAAACCTTTTTGCTGTGCAGCTTTAGCAGTGAGTGTCTAAATTCTATGACATGTGCTCCTGTTGTTTATTTCAATCACTGTAACCATTCTCCACTTGTGATCATCTTGAATGTGGTGCTCATTTCTCTATATGTTCTTATGCCGGTTTATTACAAACCACTGTTCTTCAACAAATCACTGTTTTTTCCTTCTGAAAGTGTGTAAATGCCTCACCTGTTTTATATTTATTTGTTTGCCGATTTGTAAATTTATCCAATGTATATCCACCCTGCCAAAACCCTATGTTAGGGTTGCAGTATTCGTAAATAAATAAATAAATAAATACGGGTAAAGAATTGCTACCCAATCCATGTCTCTTATAAAGGGGCTCAACTGTACACATAGAGAATATCAGATATATGGATTGAGTAGACCAGAGGACAGTGGCTTTTTTATTGTTGCTTACGCGTGCGAATAGATCTTGTGTCCATTTGTCACATTTTCCGGATTCAGCATTATTGCGTGAAATGCTAGTGGAGTAGGGAAGGGGACATAGACATGCCGGCTTGTTGAGGAAACCCTGGTATTACGTATAGCAATAGTAACAGAAGGAATGTTGTTACTATTCTTGTTTCTATTGTATATTATAATAAAGATAGAAATTTCTGATGGATGACTGAATGGCTAGGCCTGTTTTTCTATTTATGAAATAATGTAATTTCAAGCTGACGCGAATGGGCAGTGGTGTTGGTGCACATTTGTTTGCTAATTTGTGTGTTCAGTTATTTACCATCGAGGTCAAGAGAATTGTAGAGGCGGAGAGCCTATAAATACCAACAGAAAGATGACAAAAAAAACAAGTAAAAAGAGTCATGAATAAACTTGTAACTAGGCTTAAACTTATACACTGATTTGTATGTAAAAACAACAATAAATACATTTTTAACAGGCTAGTACCTGTACATTGCTGGTTGTGCCTCGCAGAAAAGGGTTGCCACTTATAGATGCTGTGACAAACGGAAGGTGGTTTCGCTGAGTTGCTGTGCATGGTAGAAAATACTAGGAAAATGTTTCATTTTTACAAAAGTCAATACACTTCAAACATCGATATAATAAATTAGGATATAACAAATTATTGGCTATAACGAAGTTAGTGACCAATAGTTTTGCCACAGATAGTGTTACAAATATTCATTTATAATGAATTTTTGGATATAACGAAGTATTTTTGTGGCAGATGTGAGTTTGCAATAATCAGGTTTTAGTGTACCCACCTTATAGGCAATGATAAATGGTATAGGCCATAATTTGCGGTGATAAAATAAAGGTGTTATGAAGCATGCTGAGACAGTGAATCAGCCATATTTAGACATCATACTTCTCACCGTGCAGTCTGCAATGTTACTTTACATACTTACTTTGCATTGGGCTGAGATTAGAGTAGGTTCAACTGAAATTTTACAGTGGGCTTCGTTTACTTGCAATTGGGGACACGTAGGTCGAGTGCTGCTGACGTCTGAAGTGCGCATTTGCAGGTCACCAAACGTTGAGTTCCGCTTGCCAGGCAAAGATGGATCTTCCATAGAAAAGGAAGCCTGTTGTCGACGGCTTGGTGCTGGTTGATGATGACACGATTGGTACGTGGCAGCCCTGTGGAGCACGCTCAAGGGAGCATTTAAAGTTTGTATAGAGAGAGAGAATCTTTTATTAAGGTAGGCTGAAAGGGTTGTCCTCCTTGGGTGGAGCCCTTGGTTCAGGGCCCCATGGGCTCGCGCCACACCACGTGCCCGCTGGACCAGCCGACGCTGCTCCTGCGGCTCTGAGCTGGTCAGCGCAGTCGTAGAGATTTCTTTTTTTAAATGGTTCTATTGCAAGTTTCTCTTGTACTAAGAGGGTTGCGGGTGTGAAGAAAGCCTCTGCTTGGTGTAGACAAAAAACATTTAATCTTTAAAAAGAGCTGTCAATGTCTATATTTAGAGTTTCCTAGGCTTGTGCAAATATTCGAACAAATAGTGTGGTATTCGAATTCACTTTGCATCTAATTTATAGAAAATTTCGAAATATTCGAGACGAACGAATTATTATTAGAACAAATAGTCCACATGCAACTTTCTGCAAATGTGGTTTCACTGCAATGGAGCAGTGCTAAGCCGTGAAAACACCTATTCAAGTGTATATTAGTTGGCTTTCATTGCAGTGAAGTAATGCTGAGTCGTGAAAACATATGTCCTGAAAATATCTGCACTGCCACCAAGCCCCGTTTCAAGGTTAAATGAACATAATACCCTCACATCGCTTCATCATTTTCAAAGTTTTGGTAGTTTTTACACTTATTATACTGTCTTACATGCTCAAAATGTAAATTTTATAGCATAACGTATATTACAGGCTATTACTTGCATTCCACCGAAAGTCAAATTCTGCTACTGTTCAAAGTTGTTTCCTGCTTTGTGTAACACAAAAAAAAAGGCACTTGCACTAGTTTTGTTTCAATTTTTAAAAAGTATTGTGCAGGTTAGTTTCGTCACGACAAATATACCTTTTTTTCTTTATAATATGCAATATGTATGCTATTCGATTCGAAGTTATTTGACCAACATCACTATTCACTTTGAACCTAAAACTCACTATTTGCTCAATAATGAATTTTAAAATTCCTATTTAGTTTCTTAAAATTAACTACAGGGGACTTTGGCGCTGCGATCGTTCAGCCACAGTGGGAATAAGGGTAGTAGTACGCAAATTAGCCTAGTTTTTCAAGCTTGTGGGCTTCAAATGCACTTGTTGATTTGTTTATTGCTGTTTTGGTTTTGTTTCGAATAAAAGACCAGGTCATTGTGAACTTCGTGACCTGATTTGAATTGGTGCGCCTAAAAATTTAAAGCGGTGAAGTGCAACTACTGAACATTTGTTAATTGTCATTCTGTGACAAAGCAGCTCCGAGCCACGCGAAGCCAGATGGAGCCTAAAGTATGAAGATTAGACAAATTTGTGTACTGCCCATCATTCCCATGCTCACTGAAGCACCGGGTGTTGCAGCTTCCAGACAATAGCACCAGAGCTCCCTTCATTGTCTTTAAGGGAAACTCTGTGGCCTCTATGCTATTTGAGCATCTGTATCTCATGTACAGTATAACCTCGTTAATTCGAAGTGACTGGGGTTGCGATAAATCTTCGAATTAAGCGGGTTTTCGAATTAACAGAACATCAAAAAAGTGTGATGCCAGGAACTTAGAACTGTTCAAAGTAATTGGTGCTCGTCGTTTACTGTGCGGGCTAACTAGCGGCTCCAAGGGTTATGTTTTCCAGCAATACTAGGTCTTAATTTTGCTGCAAACACGGAGGAACAGTGGGCCTCGTGCTGCCAATGAAAAAAAAAAAAAAAATGCTGTCCGTGATCAACTGAAATGCGCGCCTTCAAGAAACAGGACATCTTCACTTCAAAACAGTAGTGACAAGCGGGCAGCATGTCGCCTGCACCTCGCTGCGTCGGCACGTCATGATGCGACCATTCGCACATTCTTTCTGGTATAATTAGGACTTTATTAATGGCCAGTATGACGATACTCTCGCAATGTGTTCTGGCTGAGAAAAATGATCTTTAAAACTTTCGAACTTAGTTTGCGAAGTAGGTGTTGCTGGCCCGAACTCCGCCAACAGTGCAAAGGGGCGAATTGCTGGAGAAGCCGGCAATCGGACGTTCGCATACATCGCGAATTCCACCAAGTTGTTCTTTATTAATTGTTTTACGGTCCCAGAAAGAATGAGTGAACCATGACCCGCTGACGTTGTTAGAAACATGCAATATGCTGCCAGCGCGTCACTGCTGTGTTGTAGTGAAGCACATCCAGTTTTCCGCAGGCACGTTTTGGTTGACCACGAGACCGTTTCCTTTTTTTTTTTTTTTTTTGTGCTGGAAGTAGCGAAGCTGGGATGCTTCAACTACCACTAATTAGTATCGCTACGTTGCATTGCCTTGTGGCTATTAAGGGCTGTCGTTTCAGCGAAACCGGGATCTGAACCTTGCACATTGCACCCAAAATTTTCGAATCAACCGGACTGGTGCTGGCCGCCCTTTCAAATTATCCACTCAAACTTGCATTGCCAAATACGGGACTGCGGAAATCCTTCGAATTAAGCGAGATTTCGAAATAATGAGGTTTTACTATATATTTTTTTGTCCTTACAGTTTTCTAGTTAATGCCAATTCTGGTTATAGTATTATCAAGGCTTGTTGGTTCTGTTGTGTTGCGAGTCGGTGCTCATGTGTGTGCCCCTTGTCTAATTGCACTTTTTTTTATCGTTACATTGGTTCAGATTGCTATTGACCCTTCATTGTATACGAGCTGCTCTTGTGGCTGTAGCAGGCAGTAGCACCATGTGTAATGTTTTGGCAAATCCTCTGTACTTATAACCGTGCTTGATCTAGGTCACATATAAATTTTAACTTGTATTTTTTTGAAGGACGACGACTTGACTTACATATGATTTGTCGAATGCACGCTTTTTGCAGTCAGCAAGTGTTCCAACAGCGGCATGATTGGCATGTGGGAGTTGTCCACTCACGTGGCCCCTATTAGAAAGTTCTCCCAGAAATTGCAAAAAGTGAAAGTGGAGTACAGGAGCACATTTCTTTGGAGTGACACCAAGGTCGACTACTTTTACCCTTCAGCCACCGCAGGTGAGGCCAGTTTATAGATTGGACAGCTAGCTTAGTTTACTGCACTAACCACCAATGTCATCTGTTCCGTGTTAAAACATCGAGAAACCTGCTTGATGCGTCATGATACTATGCAGTGCAGCAATGACCGAGCAAGAAAAGCCAAAAAAGCCTATGGCAAGAATAGGCAAACAGCACCAAATCGGTGATCCTAACTGGCTGTGATACGCAAATATTTTAGCACACATGTGCTGCTAGATAACATGGTTTGAAAGCATGCAGTAGATTAAGATTTCAAATGTAATAATAGAGCTGTCTCATTTGGTTGCAAATGTGAAATAGTTAGGTTTATGGCACAAATTAGGAGATGGTCAATGCTGTGACGATCTCGTTAAGGAAATGCAACTGCAGTTAGTTTTGCACTCATGAAATTTAATGGGTGAAATGTGTAGAGCTACACTTCCAACACAGTTTTATTTGTTATAAAGTAGGTCTGCTATTTCATCCATCTTGGTTTGAGAGTCCGTGTACATAATATGTTTGGAGAAAACGGAGAGCCTTAGTTGCCACTATTCCATGTTCAAGCTGGGTGAACCTCTACACTCGTATAGAGCCTGTACAGCTACAGTTCATTGCTGCAGTAAAATGCCGCATTTTTTAAAAGACTGTGCTGTCTTTTTCAAAGCAACATGGCTTTTCTTTCTCACTTCTCAAGATGTTATGGCTTGCGGCGATGACGCTGGGACTGTCTGGCTGTACAGCATTGGAAAAAAGAGGGCAACTCTGGCGAAGCCCATAGCCATGCTGACGTGGCCCGATAAACTTTCATGCAGTGACCAAGTGTCCGTGACGAAAAAGGATGGAAAGGTATATCTATGGTGTTATTCAACGACAGAAGTGTTCCACTTATAGCAGCCAAGCTCAACCTAAATCTACTCTGCAGAGTACTTTTTCTAAAACAATATGCTAACATGATAACATATGGAAATGCAAGTCTTTTAAAGTCTAGAAGAAAAAAAAATGCTTTTAGTATGTCCTAGATAATTTAGCTTAGTCCTAGATACAATCTTCGTTGAGGTAACTGAATAAACAAACCGTTTGTTGGTATTGGTATTCTTTTCATTGCTGAACAACCGTTTTTGTAAAATCTATTCAGTGGCTTCAGCGTTCGGCTCTTGTCATAAAGGTTGTGGGCAAAGACGTTTGACGTGAAAAATTTGACAAATATATTGCTCTGCCGATATTTCTTGCAGGTGAACGCAAATTCAGTTAGACTGAGTCCTGATGGAGACTACATGGTAGTGTGCATAGATGTTAACATCGTGTGCATATGGAGGATCACGCGGTAGAACACCAGGTGAGGTCAATTTTTCATGTCGCGCTATTTGCATTGACAAGCCTTGCATTTCAGATTTTAGCAGGAAGACATCACTATCATCAGATCATGAAATCGAGCTTTTTTATCCAGCACGGCAGGCATGTTTCTGTCAAATCATTGTCATTAAATGGAATGACCCACACACTTTGGCTTGCTTGTTTTATTTTTCTGAACAAAGAACAATACTTTGCGAAGGAGAAATATTGCACATGCTATGCGCAGAGAAATAACCATTTGTACCGCATCGAATACACGTTCTCCGTTAAATCGTGGAATGAATAAATTCAAAGAGATCAAGTATCCATACATTAAGCAGACAGTCTACAGGTAAGCCCTATGCTTCCTTAGTACTTTCAGCCATGAAAAACCCAACTGTTGCGGCTTGCTTTGCAACCCGTGCTCAAAGGCACAACAGAGTGAGCTCAATAAATATCACAAAGACTGTTGGGATTGGCATCACAAAAACTCCCGAGTGACGACACTATTACTAACAACAAAATGATCAACCGAAAAAGTTGGTCGTTCGATACGTCAACGATATTACATACACGCTGTGCACATGGCTCGCATTTAAGATTTCTAGCATGCGGGTGTCTACAAACAACGGTTCACAAAAGGCCTCAAGATCCAACACCGCACATTGACAATAATAGCATAATATAACAGCGCTCGAGGAGTACACAGCTGTGGTGTAAGAAAATATAACTTTTTCTGTCCGAGCGGCTCTCATAAAAGAAAAGTTGAGTGGGATAATGCACGTCCACGTTACAGTAGGGAGTATTGAACGAGATGCATATGTGGCCTCCCAATGCATGCCGATATCTGCGCGTGATCTCATTGGAGGCTAGCGCAGCCGTTGCAAAATACCGTACGCGAATCCCGACGTGAAACGTAGGTTTCGCGAGATGCAAGATTTTAGGCGGACCTGTCCTCCGCTAGGCGTTGCCAAAAAAGTTGGCATTTTCTGCGCATTATATTTGACAATTGTGAACATTAACATACACTAATTCTACCGCAATCAGTCTATTGCTAATCCTATTTACATCAGGAGCGGCAGCTGCCCTTGCAGGGTCTTCAGCTCACAGCTGCCTTAATCTGTGGAAGAAACAAAAAAGAAGATATGCAAGGGATAAGACACAGCCTCAAGCACAAGAAAATGTTCAGGTATGGACACTTGAAATATGCATGCAAATGTTCAGTGGTACAGCTTGCTACTTGTGTACAGCATTGGGGTGGGGCCTCGCTCATGCAACATACCTGTTACCGAAAAACCAGTAGTAGCATTCAATTTCAGAGACACTACCATGTCCGCCAGATTTCTTGAGCACTTTTCTTTGGAAAGGGGGCAAGGGAGCACACGTGGCTGACGGTGTTTTTGGTACCGTGGCAACCTATTCTCACAGAGTTCAAGGAATGACATCTGGATGTGCATGCTTCAATCGGTAGTGCATTCTCAGTTTATTCTGTGTCTCGAATTACAAGCGAAAGGTAGAAAAATTTATGATGTCTTTTACTAGCATGCATGCTTTTCTTGACATTGCAGTGCCAAGATAGACTCTCACTAATAGGAGTTGCATTTATTCTATCCACGCTCAATAGCGTTACAGTCACAGCACTAAGTTCCTACTGAACTTCCAAGTGATGCATCTCAAAGGAGCTTAGATGTTTTGTACAGTGGTTAGGCAGGGCATGCTGAAGCAGGCAACCATTTGTACTCACTCTTATGTACAGTGTCAATGTCAACATTGTTTATGAACTGTACAGCCAGTGCAGCATGAACAGAACAAAAGAAAAGTGTCAAAGGAAGGCAAAAGCTAAAAAGAAGGAAAATTTCAGTATTTCAGTGGGACTGCCATGACAAGAGCAGTTCTAAAAGTTCATGGTGACAGAGGCATGAACAACTTTAAAGTTTAAAGTTTTTTATTGCAAAAACCACAGTCAGATTACAAAGGGTTGTTGGAGTTCTACAGGAACTCTAGTTAATGCTGTCTGCCTGGTAGGGACTCTGTGTGTAAGAATGTTTCTTTATATACGGCTGGAATAGCCCGGACTGAACTCGAATCATCAAGCTCAGCAGAGTAACATTACAGCAACAGCTACCGCAGAAATATGTGCAAAAGCAACCAAGCGCCAGTATCAGCCTTTGCTCTTACTGGCCCTGTTGGCGACTCACTGTGTTTAGGTGATATGAAATGAGCAAAATGAAGAAAAAGGGATGCTAACAGAAGCGGCCTGTCGAGCAAAGGGTGTGTGCACTACTATGTGCACACAAAACATGAATTGCAAGTGAGCTTTCAAAGCATGATGAGCTGGTGCTTGCAAACACTAAAGTAAGGGTTCTCAAACTGGATTACTCCAGACCCAGGGGTTCCGAGAAGGACACCTTGGGATTCCGCAAGTGGCTTGAACGAGTGCAGCTCGCTCCCATTTTACTCCTATGAGCAACTAATTCACTCATCTTAGACAAGTAAACTTGCATTGCATTTTGCACATCAGGTGTCTGCAAGTTATAGCAATAAACATGCGTTGTAGCGGCACGTAAGGTTCGTCGTCAAGTGCACATCATGAAACTTGTGCACAAAAAAAGCGTTCAAAAAACACTATTGGGCACCTTGGTGCTTTATTCGTGTCTCATGGAAAATTGGGGATCTTGTAGCATGGCTTTTATAGCGGTTTGTCACTGTTCTAAGTGAGTTTTGTAGTTAAAGCACACGAACACTACGATATGTGTAAGACGTGTTGCTTCGTGCCGGCTGTCGCCTGTGTATCAGTCGATGGCCATTTCGCAGTGTGAGTGGCATGCCTCCTATTTTTGTCTTGCGAATAATAAAACTGGCCCCTGTACGTCCGGCGCTTTGTTTGTGCGAACACACTGCTTACGCTGCGCGGTGCCTGACACATGTGACATGTGGTTGGTTGGCGCTTTATGTGACTCGCAGAGTGGTGCTGGGAGGAATCGCAAGTCTTTGTATTAACGACAATTCTACATAAACAGCAATGGCGTTCGGAAATAAAAGAAACGGCACCGTAACCTGTCCCCCCCTTTCTTTTAGAGAGGGGGGAGGGTTAGGGGAAAGATGTTCTGCAAGGCCAGAAAGTTTGAGAGCCTCTGGTCTAAACCACTATGCCGGGCTCTTAGCATAAAATCAGCACACAGTAATATGGATGTGCCTGCCCATAGCACATGTGTATTAACCTTGCCAATGTGACAAAGGCTGACAAAAAAAGCAAACAAAACAAGCAATTGTTTGACCCTCTTCTTTGTTCAGATGTAGCTTGTCTAATCTGTAATAGTGTGCAATTGGCATCGCAGCAACGGTCCATAGTTATATCCAAGCTGTTGTGACGAAATCGAAGAGGCACATGCACTGCAATATCAGCGCATATTAAAGGACATATGGTAGAAATTTCTGGAGCCCTCTCCTGTCGAATTCCTCATAATTATATCATGATTTTGGGACATAAAGCCCTAGGTATTATTATTGACATTGCGGCACCTACACCTCCTCAGTTGACAAACTAAAATGCCTACTATTAACGCACAGTCATGCATTAAAATCCACCTTACTGATAAAAATCAACATTAATGTGCTAAATATAATTTTTCTGATAAATAAATTATCGCAATTAAAGAGTTATGTTATTAGAAAACTGAAGACTTTCTAAGTCACTAAATTTCTTTAGAGATGTCGAACATCAGGCCATCACACTAGTAGAAAACCAGTTAGCTTTCCATTACACCCGTGCTCACCTTAAAAGGCTCACTCATGCCGAGCACGTCGGACTGGCCTCGTAGGTAGACCAGCCGGTACCTGCCCGACACCAGCAGCGTCTGGTCGCCAAAGAGCACCCTATAGAAGACGCGCTCGGATGATGAAGGCGGACGCTTTTGCTGCTGGCCATCTTGTCCCGTGCCGCTGTCTGTGCGACCGGCCTGGGCCACCGCTTCTCCCACAGATGGACGCCGACTGGGATCGTCGGTGGCGTCGTCACCCTGATCCGAGCAGCTCTTTCCTTCCACCGGCGTCGCATTGCCAGTGTCGGGAGGTGTGTCGGCATGCACGCTGGTGCCCTCGACCATGCTGTCGCTGGGCGACGCGCGCGGTGGGGACGGCTGCTGGCTGGTCGGAGGCCTCCAGCTGACCGTAGCCTCCCCGCGCTTCTTGGCGGCACTGCTGCCCTGCCTCGACTGTTCGGCAGTGCTGTCGCCAGGCGGGGTCACAGCGGGCACGGCAGAGGCAGACCTCAATGGCCGCTGCCCTTCTACGTTAGGCTCGGGGTCGCCTGCAATCCACAATGCACCGCACTGCGACTTTCTTGTGTTCTTGCGAGTCAGCTGCCTTATTTATGTATTCATTTAGCCCTTTGTGGTCCATGCTTCGGCACTTTTCAACAAGTTCTTTCATTGTTGAATCATGCATGTGTTCTCTCATTGCACTATGCACCATCTCGAATTGAGTAAAAAGAATAAAACAGCTAGCAATTAAGATGAGACGAGAGTAAGACACAGTCATCTTGAGCGGTGTTATATTCTTCATCTACTATGCATCAACCAGCCCAATCAAGAACACTGTTGCAAATGAGCAAGTAATTTTTTTTACAAGAGCTCCAATTTTGTTAGTTTCAAATGGAATGGATAAAGGAATGGAATGGAGGGTAAAGGTTTCAGTGACAATAGGTTAAAAGTACCTTAAGGCCCCTAGAAGCATTGTGCAAGGGGGATAATACAATAAAGTGTTTAAAACATGTACAATAATTAGAAAACATAAAAATGGGGTGGAAGTATATATATATATAGATGCAACAGAATAAGATAAAAATGATGTAACAGTGGCGTATGTGGAAATGTAAATTGGTATTGCATTAGATGATGTATAACAAGGCAAACCAAAGAGGCAAGAAAAATCTGCTATTGACGACAGCAAAAAAGTTTGCCGACATAAAATGTGAACCTAATCACAGAACAAAATAATTAAGGATTAACCACACACAGCCAAACAAGGACATATAAAGAGAAAAAAAGCACTTTATCTCTGTTAGTCGACACACTTTCCTAAGCTAGCCAGCCCATGACTAATGCACACCACCAAAAGTACAAGCACAAGGAGCACTTTCCTTCCAGGTACTATGAATTTGAAATATTTTGGGATTGTTGCTCTAAATAAGAACGTAAGAACCCTAAAGAAGTGTTCGGCGCTACCTGAGACTGCATTGCATATATTTTCAATACCACTACTTTAAAAAGCCAGTTTCGATTTCAATATCGCAAGGGCGACTTCTCTGTGACATGCCATGTGAATGTGACGTCAGCCGAAGGCAGCAATTCGCAACGTATTAGCGGCAGACTGGCCATCTGCTTGTTATACACGCAAACGAGTGCACAGTCCGCAGCGACACCGACAGCGATTTCTGCGATTCAGGTCGCATGCAGGATGCAGAGTTCGCAAATCCAGTGGAACCGAGTGTACTCATCATGATAATGTTCATTGAGGCGTGGATGGCTTGCTGATACTCAGCAACGAAAACTTTAAAATCAAAGAAAATATTTTATACGTTCTGGCAGACTCCAAAGACACTCACAAAATACTAGCACCAGCTCTGCCGTTTGCCAGCAGTCGCATGTGGTTCATGTTAACAATGATGAGTGAGCTGTTGCCTATTGACTCCGACAGCGGTTTCTCTGATATAGGTTGCAGGCAGGATGCGGACTTTTAAAGCCTAGTGAGCTGTGTTGACTTCTCATGGCCAACCTGTCGCAGCAATAATGTCTATTGCAGCGGGGCTGGCATGCAGACGCTGGGTGACAAAAATTTTTAACATCTAAGTCAAAGCAAAATATTTTATTCATATATCATCTGGCTACGACGAGTGGAAAAGCTTTGATAGTGCATATCTTGGAAATGAAAAATGTCCCTTTTGGGGTGCCTTAAAATCATGTCAGTACTCTTTTAGGAACAAAGATGAATGTCAAAGGTGCACTGAATTTTACCTGGCTCGTCTGCCGAGTTGCGTGGCCAAGAGAGGGACCGTGCTGCATTTTCTGTTTCGGCCGGGGACCTGTTGGCGCGACGAGAGGGCACACTTGGGGTGCCCCCAGCAGAGTTGGTGGCCGTGTCAGAGGCCACAGCAGAGGCTCCACTGGGAGCTGTGACGGAGGCTCCACTGGGAGTTGCACCAGGAGCCGCACTGGTGGCTGCACCAGAGGCCGCAGAGCTGGGTCGCGAATGACTGCCTCGAGAAGAGCGTGACCGGCTACGCCGTGTTCGCAGGTGGGTGGGATAGACATCGGTGGGACGTGTTGATGCCCAGACATAGCCCAAGTGGTCCTCCAGGCTACTGAAGTTTTCCTGCAGAAGTTAAAAGGTTCTATTTAGTTAAGGCTGTAGCCAATGCTCGATTTTTTTTGTTTGATGAATGGACAGAACGAATGAATAGAATGGATGGATAGATGAATTGGTTTAAATGGGATGCTGCAGCCTCAAAGAGATTATACTAGGTGTAAACAAAAGAACTTGGTTTGACAAAGATGACACTATAAAGTGTGCACAAAGAGCATGTGAGGTGAAATATGATAGATGTAAGTATAGGAACAATAAATGCAAAGAAAATTAAAAAAAAAAAAACACCAAATAGTAGATTTAAAATGCAAAATACTGGAATGAGCCCTGAAAAAAAAAAAACTTGCTTTTCAGAGAGCAGATTCTGTCATATCGATATGCAAAATTTACGAGATCGAACTGCAAAAGGGGAACAAATAAAAGCATAAATGTAATCAGGTCTATTAAAGTACTACAAGCATTTCTTAAACAAAGAAAATGAGCATAGTGTTGCAATATTATCAGCTAAATTATTCAAACCAACACTAGTTCTAAGGGAAAAAACACTATTTAATGCAGCTAGGAATTTCATGGAAATAAAGGAGTTAGTTATTGTGAAAGACCACTGCAGTGCACAAAGCAGCAAGAAGTAGTGAAACCACCGACGCCCTTACTGACCCAGAACGTGGCACAGACTTCAAGTGATAACAATGCAGATGCCCAAGTAAAATGGTTACCATAAAGCCAACACGTGAAACCAAAGACTTGTTACCGTGGCAAAAAAAAAAAAAAGAAAGTTTCTTAGATCAGAATCCTTGCTTGGTGCACATGGCTCCACTGTTGGCTCGTTGTAGTGCATAATGATATTACTCCTAATAAGCCAGACCAAAAATGCTGAGATGGCTTCAACTCTGAAGCGTTGTGGGTACTTGCAGAACAACTTGTTTTGAAAATGGTATGCCCATATTATGTTAAACTATAAACAATTGCTGCTTCTATCTCGAAACAGCCTTCCATCGCTTCAGACCAAACATCTAGAGTGGAATCTAGCGAAGCTTAAAGAATATTCATGAGCTTTCACTGGAAGCAGGTGAATGTAGTTTAATGAAACTGCCACTTGCTTTTAATAAACTAGGTAATATAAAGCCTTGTTTGGTGGTCACTAGGCCACAGATGAGTGGTGCATCCACAGGGACATTACATTGCTCAAGCAAAGGCAGTACGAAAAGAACAACCTCTTACATGGTGCGCAGAATACACGACATAGCTTTGGAGATACGAGTCACACATCCATTTAGCTTTCAGGAAAGGACATTACATTGCTCAAGCAAAGGCAGTACGAAAAGAACAACCACTTACATGGTGCGCAGAATACACGACATAGCTTTGGAGATACGAGTCACACATGCATTTAGCTTTCAGGAAAGTAAACGCCAGCAAGACAGGCGACCGATTGTTCGGGCACAAGGTACGTCCCCAGGGAGCGCAAACTTTTTTATGTGAGTGTACTGATGTACTACTTGCCCTGTAGAGACCGATCCAATCCCAGGACTTGAGTTCGGTGTCTGCACTTGCGTAGTACCAGGCAAAGCTGTCCTGATTGATGATCCAAGTACCCACAGGAAGAAAGTAGATGACTGGCTGCTCAGGCTTGGCAAACACCTGGATGGAAATCGAACGCAGCAATTAGTGCTGGTGCACATTGCTACATAATGAATCCCCATACTTGCTCTCAGCAGCAATTTCATGATAAAACATACGATAGCTCTGCACAGTGTGTTTGTTCTCACTTAGTCTGCCTATAATGAAGAAACTATTAAGCAAGCGATATATTGCAGATGCAGTTTGCTGAGCACTTCTAATGGCGACTGCCATTGCAGGCGTGATGGGAATCATCTAGGAGGCTTTTACCCTCGCAAGGGCTTCAATCCTTTTACCTCTCTTCAGATAAACCTAGTGCGCCTGCACATTTTGCGTGCCAATGTCCCAATTTACATACTCAGAGGCTCTTTTAGCAAATCCATGCCCTTTCGTTTAGTTTTTTCACACACGGATGGTGCTTCAATTCCTTTACCTCCCTTCAGATAAACCCAGCGTGTGTGCACATTTTGCATGCCACTAGCTGAGGTCGTCATAATAAAAATGCCCGATTCACCTACAATTATAAGCTAACTTTCAATGTTGAAAACATTTCTTTGTTCTCCGATTAAAATAAAGGTATTGCTCTTAGTGCAATTTCTGATAATGTAGATTGCTTCCAAAAAATGGTAATTTGCAATATCTTTTCAGTAGTCTTTTCAAAGGTAAAGAATTAATGCTGAGAAAGGCTTGGAATAAGGAGCAACCACACTGAGGAGAAGCTGTACCCAGAAAAACAAACATTTTGCCACCACGACCTTACGAAAAATTCCTTGTTTACAGGTTCTGTAGGATATAAGAATTATTTAGTAACTGCTGCACTACTTCTACTAACAATATTTACTGAAAACTGAAAAGCTTCTTCGAGTTCATCTATGCAAAGCAGCAATAAATCGACAATTTTATGTTGGTCACGTAGCAGTACCTTCAGAGTGAAGAAAGCAGACACGGGCTTGTGGTCACTCTGGATGTACAGGTCGTGGCTGACGTACTGGTGCTGTTTTAGATCAAGGGTCACATTGTCGTAAGCATTCTTGGTGAAGCGGTAGAGGATCCTGTCAGTCCAGGCTGGCTTGCGCTGGCTACACAAGCCAAAGAATAGTTTGTTTACAAGTCTTCCCATGAGCGTACGATATCTCTAGTAATGTATTTACTCGTGTAATGATCGCACCCCTAAATTTTGTTGTTTAAATTAGACTTTTTTTTTCCCGCGTAATTATTGCACCCTGAACTTGCCGCATCGACATGTCATGCCTATCATTGCCTATCATTGTTTCTGTGATGTGAAAGCGGGCATCACTATGATAATGCCATAAATTTACTGATTTAAATGAAAGCATTCCTTATTTAGATGGAAGAAACTGTTTTCACGCGTGTGACGTACTCACAACCTCCATAACTGACGCAAAGAAGAAAAAGAATGCGGTGGCTTCGCTCCACGGAGTGCTTCGCTCCGTCAGCCGCCATGTTTGTTTTGACATCCCGCACTGTTACAGCGGCGGCCGCCTGTTGGTCGACCTGTGTTCATCCCGCAGCAATGTTTTTTTTTTCCTCAGACCACTTTTTTTGGTGTGGTTTGTGATCGTCTGTTGAAGCACCGTTTCACTATGGGGCGGTATGCGAGCTTTACTGCCGCGTTCAACCAAAAGGCACTTGACCGCACGCTAAAGCACAGCAACCGCGCTGCCGGCAGACATTTCGGCGTCGACGAAATCCGGATCCGATATTGGAAAAAACAGCGTGACATGCTCATGGCTGCTAACAGCACGCGATGGGCTTACCGTGGACCCAAATCTGGCAAGTTCCCTGACATTGAAAAGGCAGTCCTTGAATACGTGAAGCACATGCGCAAGTACGGTTATGCAGTGTCATTAGACATGATACGGGCGCAGGCGTGCAGTTTCCCGGAGGCTGGGAATAGCCACAAAGGACATCCTCCGCGCCAGTTCCAGCTGGACGACACGCTTCATGCAGCGGAATTGACTGTCGCTGGCATTTTCAACGCGCTCGACGGAATAGAAGATGACCCTCTGTGGGACAGTGAAGACACTGCCAGTTCCGACAGGTAATCGTGCGGAGACGACACTGACGCCAGTGATGCTTCGGAGTCTGAATGAACGTTAGGGGGTCATAGAGGCAAAAACTAAAAGGGCAGTGTGCCATGCATGTAGCTCCTGCGTAATGCGTGCATTTTATTACAAAGGTAAGTCTTAATTTACTTTTATTTTTGGTTATGCTCATGATAGCTACTGTAAGAATTCTGATTAGCGATTTTTTTGCGTTTCCGGTGCTCAGAATATATTTTCACGGAAAATTTACCCCGCGTAATGATCGCATATCATAGTTGGAGTCACTTTTCTGAAAAAAAAAAAAAAAGTGCGATCATTATGCGAGTATATACGGTAATTGTTTAGTTTTTTTTAAGGCTTTGTGGCCTCCAACATTGTGTGGCATTATTTCCCGTTATTGGTTGATGCCACAGGTCACCAGCCCTGAAGACCAAGATGCACACGGCAGCTCACATTGACACTCTAATGGTCTAACCCATGTCATTTTTTTTGCATCTTATACTACTACTATCTTATCCATCTTTTTCTCTACAGTGATCATTACATGTCTTCAGTTTTTGGAGTACTGGTTTACCTGTAATTGTAGCCGACGTGGTCAATCTGGAACTTGTAGGTTGGTGCGAAGGTAATGTCATTTTCGCAGAACTCGTGGAAGGCTTCACCTTTGCTGCGCACACGGTTCAACTAAAAAATTAAGAATGCAGCAAGACATGTAGGTCAGCCAATGGCTCGAAAGACTTATCAAGTAAGCAGCAGCTAAATATTTAAGTGATAGCACATAGATAAGTTGAACTATTTATACTCATAGACCACAATAACGAATAACCATACCCTTTTGACCGACTGATAACCATGTACGAGTACGTTTCATTTAACGGGATATCAGTTCGTTGAGAGATTAACGGGTGCAGAAAACAAATATCAAATGAATCACACCTGGGCCAGTTGTTTTACTGAAAGTCTACTTACTACACCACTTCGTGCATTTACAGTTTTCTCGTAAACAGCCAAATTTTGCTTGCTCGCTTTTCCACTATGCTGAACTATGCAGCAGACGGGAGCAAGCCGGTATAACACGTACCAACTGAATTCATAAACATTGCTCAAGTGAATAATTTTGGGGCCCATGTGCAGACTCTTGAAGGTACTGTGGCCTTCATGGGGTGTTGTTCTCATGGGTTGTTGTTCTCATGGGACTCATGGGGTGTTGTTCTCACTTTGAATGTTACCTATATTCACACTTGATTAATGTGAAAGACATTTGCAACAGGAGACTCGCGAGGCAACAAGATCCATAAGAGGGAAAAAACAGTGCAAAATCTAGAAGGGACACACAAGATGAAGGCACAACAACTTCTTGTTTGTCCCGTCTGTATCTTGTACTGTTTTTCCATCTTATAAGCATTAACCCACTTGCACGTCCCATGTGACCACCTAGCCCAAGCCTCAACCCTAGCAAACAGAGTCCGATATTAATATATGATAACATAAAGGGGTGTAGTAGTCCCTCGTTAAAACTGAACAAAGGTGTCAAACACAAATATACAATACACAAATAGTAGTCAAATAGACTGCAGTAGGCTTTTGTTAAGCGGAAACTGAAGGAACCTGGAAAATATGCTCGATTTACAGGAGTTCTGTTTACTGGCTTGTTCGATCACATCTGCGGCACCACGACCGGTGCCCTAAACTAACCTAATTTAATGAACAGGGTTGAAAAGTTCAAATGTAAAATTATTCATATCAGAAGTGCAGTTGTTCTTTTAAAAAAACAGCGATGTCAACATGTAGTAATCAATCTCCTAGTAATGATTACAAACTAATAATGCAACAGAGGGACGAATTAATATATGTAGTATCAAAAATTATGACCATTGTCAAAGCCAATTCAAAACGGGTGCCAAGCCCGCCAATTTTAATGCTGCCAAGCGGCCACCTCCTGCGTCCCACCTCATCAGACCACGTGGCCACACGAAATGGCGACGCGAGTGTCAGTTGAGATTTCATCAGCTCTGCCCACATGTGTCGCTGTCTGTCTCCTTCTTTTCTTGTCCTTCGTTATTGGCGCTGTTTTTTATGTGAATTATGTCTTACCAACTCGCCCAAGCAACCACGTTAGCATGTGTAAAGGCATGTCTTCGCCACCTTCACTGTTGCCGCGGTCATCAGCGTCCACAGTCGACAATGAAAACACCGAGGAATATGGTATCGCAGCGGTTTGTAGTGTGGCGAATCATCTTCGGTTCAATCCTCTTCTGAGCAGGGATTCTGAAATCAACGCCGGACCGAGCAGCGACGAGCAGCTGGAGATGCACGCTTGGGCTATGCTGGCTCGTAAGACATGTGAACGCTGCATGCGTGTTACTTGTTCGCGATGGTCGTAGATTCAAATAATCACATTCGCACTCATGACTCCACGACAAACCACCCAAAGCTTCACAACGAAAACACAGTATTCACACAAACTAAGCAAAACAAAGCAAGTGAAGCTGTTTCTAAACAGCCAGGCGTCGCTGCCAGACGGTACCACATGGAGACACCGCGATGACATTAAAATTGTCGACATCGTTACGGCTTGCTCATCATCACACAGCACTTGAGGCGTGGACTAGGAACTTGCCGACTGCGCCAAAATACTGTCGACGTCTCATGGCCAGGAATGTACCGTTGAGCCTTTAGACGCTCTTTGCGCTCGAAATAGAGTAACTTCTACGCAACAGGCCCAATCCATACTTTGCTAAAAAAACTAGTGCATACTAAGTAATGGAATGAACACATATCTAGAGTTTGAAATTAGGTGTCACTGCTCCTTTAAGCAGATTTCTGTCCACTGGGTGTGCTATATATGGTAGCGCACAGGGGATAAGAAAAACCTATCTGTGGCAACAGTGATGAAACAATGCTTTTCACCAGTCCAAGTGACTTAAACTGCAGACAAGCAGAAACTCAAGGTATTGGTTAAACCCGGATTTACACTACTACATGACCATGATTATCTGGCAGCAATGTACCATTCGGTAAAATCCCGCAGATGTGTTACTACATCGGTTTTCTTACTTGATCTTTTGACAGCATCTGGCTATAGGTGTTGTTCTCAATAGCAGCCCTCATTTCCTCCAATGTGCAGTCATCCACACGGAAATTCAGGTCGCCGAACCAAAACGTGTAACTGTTTGCAAAGAGCACAGGCAAAGGGTAAGCATAAGAACAAAAACAACTGCCATCTAGACAACATGAAACAATGGAAGTTCACTTACTCGTGCGTCAAAATGTTTGTTGCCTGGGTGTCAAAAAACCTTTGCTTCTCAATTATTGTGTTATACTCCTGCAAGTACAGAGGAGGTAGTCACTTCACGCAGACAAAAGTGCTTCATTTGGTTGTTTTATGACCGTTTCCTTGGATGCAAAAATTACAACTATGTGAGCACGTTCGCGCATGTTCAATATAATAGGGGTCGTCATTTGTCCAAATGTATAGTTGAATATTACAGTCATGTTTGTGTTCAAAGGATTACAGCAATATTCACTAGTTATGGCACTATTCATAGTTTAACGTAACTGGTGACCACTGCAATACTCACATTTATCCGTTGGAATGTTTCACTCTCGTGAGCAGCCAAATGGCTGTTGACAAAACAAATGGAGCAACCGTACACGCAAAGCCGTATGGTCACTCCACCTTTGTTGCCCTTCAAAACAGAGAAAAAGAAGGCAATATTTAGTTGCTTCACTTCAGAACAACTACCACACCATCAGATTGGGTATTAACAATCAGTGCTAATAAAGATGAGCCCAATATTAGTCATAAAAGTCCTGTTGTCAAAACTTCGACTGCCCTCCATTTATCATTTTTGTGGGTGCCGATGGTGACCACATAACAGCAAAAATGCACATTCCAGTACAAAATTACAGCAAGGAATTCATCAATTAGTTTCAGCTATCCATTTGGCTTGCTGAGAAGTTCATTAATCTAACATAACACTTGAATGGTAAACAGCACATTTGTGATCCCTAAACAGGTGCACATTATGGCAGAATTTTATTAAAGGGAACCGAAAGGCAAAAGAAAATTTTGTTCCCCTTAGCAAGAGCTCCTTTCGCTGAGAATGTTGCATAGGGATGCAGTATTCGAATAAAAAGTACTAATTAAAGTCAGTTCTGCTAGGCAACACTTTCGTTCAAGCAATTTCTGTTTGCAGTGATTCTGCTGTACACGCATAGAACTGAAATTAGACTAAGTTTGTAGTGATTACTTAATGGTGCACATCGCAACTTGCAAATTTCACCAAATGACTTTGCACGGTACATCAACCTGGAACAAATTCAAAGCATTGACATGTACAGCTGCAGCCACGTCTTGTAGAGCTCGTGGTTACCTGGTTTTCGCTCTGTGGGGCGAAACCCTGCGACAGCTGTGGGCTCTGAAGAGGTGTATCAGGAGCCTGGAGCATGAGCGGCCCAGTTATTATGTTGACCAAATCAGAACCGGATACTGCTTCGAGGTTTTGCCTCACAGGGAGAAAACCGGCTACTCGTGCTCTCAGTGTCATACACTAATAGAAAACGTACAAACTCATGCCACGCACTTTTGAGGCGGTTTGACAGTAATGATTCGACACTAATGCTACGATTAACGGTATTGCACAACAAAATAAAGCAAAACAGCAGCCAGCCTCACCCAGACACCCCCGAGACCTGTCCGGGTGTACGTAGACTGAATGCCCCGCAGCTGTATCAGGTGCTCGCGCTTGGTAAAGATGGTCAAGATGAGGCCCTGTAGACGCACATGCTTTACCTGCCAATCAGAGAAGAACCCTGTTCTTGATCATCCCGTGCCTTGCATTCAGGCGAGTGCAAGTATTTTTAAAATGCTCTTAGTTTAAAACAAATGTCAGAGGTATATGGCTAATCTTTCATATGTAAACATGCATTCAGAAGACAGCATGGCCTCATGGGACAGCAGTGTATTAGTTGTTGCAAAAAAGAAACAATATCTACGCTCACGCCACTGAAACGGACATTGTTACCAGAATTTTGAGAGCTGTGCTACAGTTATCCATTGTAACCTACACAGTTGGAGAGTGATGTAGCAGTATTAGAAGCGATTCCTGAACTAGCTCTAAAATACTTATAATGCAATTACAGCTTAGTTTTCCCTTGTTACCAGAAAAACTGTGGAAGCATAAGAGTGAATGTTCATTAGGGCTATTTGATTCACATTTCACATTGAGGGGTGACATTCACCTTCATCATCCTATTGCGTTGTGTTACTATTAACAGTATCAAACACCTACCATTTGTTATTAAAGTGAGCAAAGGCTGCTGTCATGGTTACTTGCCTACCAACTATAATCAAGAGTGCAAACAGAAATTGACTGCCATTTTTGAAAGCATGCTGACAACTGATGTCCTACAGGTCACAGGCTGTACACAAGACTTGCTTGACAGCAGTTCTGTATGCCAGTCTGTACGTGAAGAAAAACTGCTCTACAGCCTCAAGCCATTTTATTTACTAAAGGTCAGCCTGTCAAGTTTTGCATAGCTTTTTTAATGAAATATAGATGAAACACATTCAACACCACATTTGCGACATTGCAATACTTCTTTTATGGCACAGTGGCCACGTAAAGTCTGGAGGATATTACAATTTCAGTCTAGCTGTTTTCGGAGAATAAAATTATGAGAAGATTTCTGCTGATCAGTTCATGGTTCTTTCACTATCCCTGTTGAGCATTTATTTGGGGAACCTTAGGTGAAATATGTGCACGTGTTTAAACTGTGGTAGTGCAGGATCAATGAGACTGGTGCCGGCTTTGCTCGGAGGAGCTAGAATTTGGGACATCTAATACGCAGACTTGCCTTGACATAACTGTACTTGTGCAGGGCATTCCTGATGGCTTGAATCCAGGGCTCTTCAAAAAAGGCTTGGGACAGGAGGTGCTGAGGTCTCGCACTCACTTCCTGGAACCTGTACATTGTTTTTTTTTTTCCATATAAGTTTTTACACTGTATGAATGCCAATTGTTATCTGCCTCGTGTTGGCATCATCATCGACCGCCCTCTTTTGGTGCATCTTGAAGCAAGTTAAAAATATAATGATAAAACAAGCACAAAAATACACACACTCAGAGAGGACACAGACAAGCGCTTGTCTGTGTCCTCTCTGAGTGTGTGTATTTTTGCGCTTGTTTCATCATGAACCTTTACCAACACGCCCAACTGACAGTCATATTGAAAATATAATAAAACAGCAAGTTGCGCATTTTGGGCAATTGAGACTATACTGGCTGATTAGGTATTCACAATCATTTTGGACCACCTAGAGTACTTTGTACACCATGATAGCTTGGCAGGAAAAGTTGTTGAGTCTGGAAACATCCTTTGATATTGCCACGAGCCATGCCTTTCCTTATGTGTTTAGTTTCCAACATCTGGCCAAGCCAGGTTGTCTTATTAATTTTCAAAGCTAAGCCCGACCTTCGCTCTTTCTCTCTCGCATGTGGCACAGGATATCTGATCTGATAGGGACAGAGATCTGATAGGCACTGTTGTCAGCGTCACGGGATGAATGTTATGTTTACCCGGTGACTGCCCTCATGAGGTGTCTCTCATCATAAGGAGACTGTTTTGTCCACCCAATGGTTCCCCTAGGACTGACGTGGATGTAAAAATGCTCTCAGAAGCGTACGGGCGACTTTTTTCCTCCACCGACGCTCACCTGTGCATGCTTGGTCAGCTGTTACTTCATCGTTTGCATTTTACCTTGAGTCTTTTGCAGAGCACAAGTTCACCCCGATAAACTTTGCTAAACGAACTCTATACAATTTATGGCTACGTGACAATATTCCTGGGACCTTTTTTTTGCTAGGGCTCTGAAGAAAGCTCATGAAATAATGGGGAAAGGCATTACGTGTACGCTCGCACATATGATTTGCAGTGCTTGCAGCCTTGTTTCCAGACAATGCATGCATGAGCATTGCAAAAGAAGTAGACGAGTGTGCCTAAATCTGTTTTCAGTGCCACCCTATCGATGACAATATCGAACAGTAGTGCACTTTAGCACCACTGTTCACTTTACGTTGCATACACGGCACTTGTTTTTTGGAAATGCAATTGATAGTGCTGTAATATAGACATACGTCAGTGGCATATATTACTCTTTTTTCTTTTCATATTTCGTAGGTTTCCATAGTAGCCCTAAAAAAACACATTGCAGAAACATCCCTGTGTGTTTTGAGCATACTCAATTATTTTTCAACCCAACTGAATTTTCTGAAGTGAATATTTTAAATATTTCACACTTAATATTTGCTGATTAGCTAACTAATCAAACTTAAAAAAAAGAATGGGGATAGCTCAGTCAACTGCAAATAGTAAGCTAATGGTCATGTTTGCCTAAACTGTTCCTTTTTTCGCAGCTTTGTTTGAATTCGTGTAACATTCAGTCCCACGTGGATGAACACAAGCACATGTGTGCAGAATGCTGTCCCACATTCCAGTAGCATTTCTTTCTGCTTCTGCAGACTTATTACCTAGCTTTGCGGAAATAATCAAATGTCAAACTTTTTTAATGCTTTAAAATGAAAAAAAGTTGACTGCATCAGTTTTTTTTTTTTTATGACACACTCTGACCTACACTGTTTCACACCTGACAGAGTACTCTATATTCTTTGATACACTTATGTGCTTGTCTTTCAATCCATGGGCACAATGCAGGATCATTTTTTACTGACCTCACAAAAATTGATCTTCAAGGTGTTTAAATCATAATTTGCATTTGTTGCATGCCGTTGTGCACCATCAGATACAGTTGCATCACAGATTGAGTCCTTAGAGTCGGGTGAACATAAAGAAATCTCAATGGTCTAAATGAAAGAAACGTCACATTCCTCTCAAGATTCAAAAACATTGAATAATTGTCCAGATTATCCATAAATGTCAGTACATGTCACTATGAGGTTGGTGGACAGCATAGCATGCTTCACCTGTGTGAAGACTCACCCAATGGCGTACATGTCTGGCAGCGCCTCTGGAATTATGGGAGGCTCGAGGCCCAAGGCACTGCGAAGGTCTGCAATCGGTGCTCGACAGACTACATTCCATGTCAGGATGTACACCCTGCGGACATAGATGCGCAAGCTAAAACCACAAAGGTGTTTTTGCAGAATTTCTCATTCAAGGTGGAAAAAACAAAGGATTTTTAGTTAAACTTTGATTTGGGCGAGTTGGTACATTGTTAGCAGGTAAACAACAACACAAAAAGGACGAAGACACAGAAGCACAGTACACATATGGGCGTTGAACTTACAACTGACATCGTTATTGCACCGACCACTCTTTTTACAGCGCTACGAACCGTGCACACCATTTCTATCAAGCAGCCAAACAGAAGCATCAGGTAGGTAAATTTCGTGTACACGTGATGGCTTCCAGTGACCACATAGTTTGCCTACCTGATGCTTTTGTTTGGCGGCTTGATAGGAATGGTGTGCGCGTTTGGTGCGCCGTAAAAAGAGTGGTCGGTGCAATACAGATGTCAGTTGTAAGGTCAGCGTTCGAATGTGAACTCCGTTTCTGTGTCCTCGTTCTTTTTTCGATGTTGTTTCAAAGCTAGCATTTCTAGTTAGAATTTAAGAAAGAATAGCTTATCAAAAAATTAATCCTGAAACAAACAAAAACAGGGAGGCATGCTGCGTCACAATCGCTGTCCTTTACCACGAATGCTTGATTTTAAACGGTCAATGGCGAACCACGTGTCCCAATCAGGAATCAAAGTATATAGAAAAAAAGATATTGGACAAAATAAAAAGGGCAGCTGTATTACATAACATTTAATTTGCTTTTTTATTCTATTGCATTATTTAGTACACTCATCTCATTCATTTTGTCAAAACACAATGTTGAGTTCTAGAATGAGTTAAAAACACGGTGACATCATACAGTGCTACAGTTCATTTCTTTGCTATGGCATATAAGTTGTATGTACAGGCTGTTTCACGCTTGGGGGAAATCTCTGAATACGTTGCAATGCGCTCAAGGTTTTTCTTGAAGTATGAAACAGCCTGTACATAATTGGGGGTTAGACGAATGAAATGCTTGGGTTTTGCGGGTAGAATGTCAGATTGCAAGGAAAGAAACGCATATAATGTTCAAGAAAACTTTGCCGAGGGTATATCGTTATTCACTTATGCGTATGCAGTGTTTAGAAGTTTGTAACAGAACAGGCTTTACGAGTGTTTATTGTAGGCTCATTTTTTACCCTTGCACGATGGATGGCTTAACAAAAAAAAAACATACGGCAGCTCCACTAGATGAGGAAGTGTGTCCGTCCCATGGGCGCCCAGCGGTTCCCATTCGTAAAGCATTGCTGGCCCTGTAATAGTCTGTACCGAGTGCTTTATAGTGAGCGTGATCATGCCACATGAAATTGATGGTCCCTGAAGTGCTTCGCACAAAATAAATGTGCAACGAATATGTGCATGCAAGGTCACTCACTGGAAGTCTCGGAGCATTTTGTTGGCTGGAGCGCTTTCTGGAGGCATGGTAGACGCTGTTCTGATCACGCTTGATATGCAGAGGCGAAGAAAACTGGAAAATAAAAAGAGAAAAACACAGTGTACAATCATTGTACTATTTAAAAGGTCACATTACCGCGGTGCACGCTAGCTTCCTCTTTCCCGTGCAGTGTGCCCAAAATTGTCTTTCAGGTTATGTGAAAAAACACGATGCACCTCCGCTTGCCATATGTTCAGACAGCCGAAATCACACAGCGCGCATCTTTCGCGGTCTAGTGGCGCGGCACCACATATGCGGAAAATGCTGCAGTATTCAACAGGTTAGGCGCACAGCTTCACAGATCCAGTTTACATATTCGCGTGTGTGGAGCCGGAGGATTTGTTATATTATCACACCACCTTTCCACGGCACCCTGTTGGTCGAGCTTGTAATCTCGTTAGTTACTATATCTTCCTCTTCTTTTTTTCCTCAAGGCCATCGTATTATCTGCAAATCATCAGTTGCGATGCAGCGCCCGAAAACCCGACAGAAACTTGACGCACCACGTCCGATAGCTTTTCTTTTCCTTGTCCCTTTTCTTTTGTTAAAAAGAATCCGCATACAGGCTCCGTTCTCGAAGACCACACCAAAGCAACATGACCACTTGCTCACCGAATTTCGCAATCGCCGTCCAGCCAATAGCATAGATTAGTGAGTGAAGATTATGCGATTTCGATTGGTGCGGGCTTCAAGACGACGGTCAGAGAGCGGTCCCAGCTCCGTCACGTCCGGGAAAGTTTCTCATGTTCTCCGGATTGTCGTTTGAATGTCTGCTACATAAGCAACAAGGAACGTGTTGTGCGGCTGCACAGCGGTAGAACGCTGCAAATGCGTGCGACGAATCTCGTCCAGCATGACACATACGCGCACCAAGTCAGCAGCAGCTGCTTAAGAAACGGGAGCCCATCGCGCCAGGCGCAACACGATCGCTCCGACTTTTCCTAGCCGACAACCCCAGCCGAGAACGAAACTAAAACAAAAACGCAGTAATTGCGACGTCACTTCTGCGTCACATGACAGTTTGATGGAGAAATGATTGTCGCCACATTGCTTGAATCAAAATGTTTGTTGGCCCGTGCGGCGTCTAACCACAGAACATCTATACAACATGTGGTCTAACTATTTGGTGCCTTGAAAAACAATTGTAGTTTGATGCTTAAATTGACCTAGCTTTTACTCGCGATAATTCAAGCAACTTTTTTTATTCGCAATAGTTTGGTTAGTGCGCAAGCTATGCGTTATCGTGTGCGCTGGCAGATGACTAAACTTAGTAGCGTCTGTCTATGCTTCAAAAAACGCATTTACTAAAGCTACTGCCACACAGCGACGCTGCAAGCGTTAGTTGCGCCTTTTAATACTAAAACATTTACTTGTAGAGTTGGTAGCGACTCAAGCACCCCTGACGGCGTAAACGTCGTGCACTCAATTTTATGTTTACTTTTGCAAGATTGTTGTTACACTAGCAGATACGTTGGAAACGCCGAGTGCACCCGTCTCTCTCGCCGTCATCTCATCGTAAGCGTGTGGTATCCGAAAGGGAGGCGGTGTTTGGTGTTCGGCCGTTCGCTGACCACCGGGTGGGGATAAATTAACCAGCCGCAGGGTAACGATAATCCAGGCGCATTCGTCGCAACCGTTCTTCCACAGTGCCAGCAGCCGGCTTCGAAAAACGGATCATGCTGGTCCTCGTACTGGGCGATTTGCACGTCCCTCATCGCTGCCACAGCCTGCCAGCTAAGTTCAAGAAGTTGCTGGTGCCCGGCCGCATCCAGCACATCCTGTGCACGGGAAACCTGTGCACCAAGGAGTCGTACGACTACCTAAAGACCCTGGCGAGCGACGTTCACGTCGTGCGAGGCGACTTCGACGAGAACCTCAACTACCCCGAGCAGAAGGTGGTCACCGTGGGCCAGTTTCGCATCGGTCTCTGCCACGGCCACCAGGTCGTGCCGTGGGGCAATCCGGACAGCCTGGCCTTGCTTCAGAGACAACTGGACGTTGACGTGCTCATATCGGGCCACACGCACCGATTCGAAGCGTACGAGCACGAGAACAAGTTCTACATCAACCCGGGATCGGCAACGGGTGCCTACAACGCGCTCGAGAGCAACGTCATCCCATCGTTCGTGCTCATGGACATCCAGTCGACCACTGTGGTTACCTACGTCTACCAGCTGATAGGGGATGAGGTCAAAGTGGAACGGATCGAGTATAAGAAGTCCTAAGTCTTTTCGTCACCCGATTGAGCGTTGCGCCGTTACGTTCGACATTCCTACGGACTTCTCTTCTGGAACCAACTCGTTCCCTGATGACGCCACCGTACCGAAAGGCAAGAGAAAGACAAGAAAGGAAGAAAAAGGCAGTCAGTGTGTGTGTGTGTTTGGGCGCGCGTGCGGCTGCCGTCACGTTTTTCGATAGTGCTCGAAGAGTCTTAGCTTTTTGCCGGTTTGATTGCGCCACTGCTGCAACCAAAATTAAAGAGCTGGCAGACCCGTATGTGTGTCCTACTCGAAGTTTATAGTAAGTACTGAAAAAACAAAAATCACGTCAAAAACAGCTATTTGCTTACGTATGCCAGCCTTTCTTTTTAATGTGCAGTTTTATTGTTATAGAAAATGCATGCTCAAGCAAATATGCCTGCAATCAGGATAATTAGTGATAACAATAACAATGTATTCAGTTTTCTTTCTCAGTGCTTCTGTATGTATATATGCAAATGTTCATTGATTTCCTATACCTTTTGTTCCCTTCAGTTGCTGTCACTTTGTTAGATGTGTACATTGAGATTTCCGCTTTAATAAAGGAAATTCCGGTTTATTAGCTACTCGTCTGAAATCTTGACTCCATTTAATCAGCACTGTTGGGCTTAAATTATACTGCTCAGAATGTCAATAGTAGCCGACTGATTCCCATCAAGCCATCTTTTAAGGTAGGTCTTACAACAAAAAAAGATCACAGAAAACTAGAGAATTCAAACACTTGCTGCAAAGACTTCAGCAATCCCGAGGTAATGTGCTCTCACATTGAACATTCAGGACATGGTATAATAAGGGCGTCACAAAGCGCTTCTTATTGGGATCAAATTATGATTACCTCCCTTCCAAATCTTGCACAAGCAAGCCAATCTTGATAGAGCATCATCCCGAATGAATGTTACCACGTGAGATTCGTTTTGGTACCGTTGTATTCAACAGTGTGTCTATAGACTGCTATTGCAGAAAAATGGTGGTGTTTGGGCTAACAGTGCGACATGATTGATACATCGTGCATAATAACTATCGCAGCTTAAACGGAGACATTGCTGTTTACTTCATCTTTCTCCTTTCTGCGGCAGCCGCCGAGCTTGTGCCATCACCTAAGTGCCGTAGTCGGTAGGGATGCCTTATATATAAATGATGAGAGGGATAGCTAGTGCATTTCAGCGCAGGAGCCTCATAGTGTCTTGATGGTGTTATTTGGATAAAACTGTGTAGTGTAAAACGTGGAAGGATAGGCATTGTAGAATCTCTCCTTTTTGACAATGCCAAGTGATAGCTTCATTTCATTACTTTCCCTTCATTTTTGTTTTTGAAATTATGTGTACTGCAGGAAGTACCATGACCACTGCCTTGCGAGGCAATGCATCTTTTGGCGTGATGTTGCCTTGGTCAAGCTATGAAATTTTCACGTTGAAAATGGAATGAGAAATGTATTACTTAGAACAATAGCATTGAAGAATAGAAATGTATTATTAGAACAATAGCATTGAAGAATAGAAATGTATTATTAGAACAATAGCATTGAAGAGAAATATACTAAGCAGCTCACAGTGACGTAATTGGGAATGCATTAGTGGCGAAAATACTTGTGTAAATGGGGAAACATTGAAGTCGGAGTACAATGTTTGCTTGAAGGTTTAATGTAATTTTAGAAAGTAAAGCTAAGCTGTGAAGGATACCACTGTACACAACGGTGGTCATTCTGAAAGTGGAGCGGTGAAATGTTGACACACCAAACTTTAGCCTTCACCACATAGTCTCCATTTATTGAGAAATATGTGGGGCTGCTTGCAATTTGTACAGGATTCAACTGACTCTCCTGAAAGTACAATAGTGAGGCCCGCACAGGGCTAGGTGATTTGCTGGACATTTAATACCCATATGTATTGACGTGCTGGAAGATGGAAAACAACATGAATTTCCTGTCACGTAAGTTTTACCACTACAAGTTCAACCACTGTTAAATACATGTTACTATGTTCTTGGAGAATAGAATCAGTCAGACCAATGCTAACTTAGAAAAATTTAGAGGAGTAATATGCTGATGTAACCGCCCACCACCTCCTTTCAAGCTTGACCACTTCCAAAGCCTCTATATTGTATCCATCATCCACGAAGTTTTGCTATAGAGGGAAAAAATTTGGGCAACAAGCAGAGCAGCCAGACATTTCCAAGTTTAAATGTTAATGAAAGGTTATCGCACATTCTTCCACACACAAAAAGTATGATCCTACCTTCACAGAAAAGATAAAAATGTAGAGGACTGGAGTGCCGAAATTTAGTGCTGTTTGACAGTGCTTGAAAAAAGTGAGCTGTGTGCCGGGGAGGAGGTCTTCCTTCAGCATTTGCCTCTGATGCGAATATACATTGCATCGTCGAATAAACGCAATGACGCAAACGTACATCAATGCGTTATTAGGAAAAGAACGTGCTGATGAGAAGATTACCTGCAGTTCAGACGGCCGGTACTGAAGTGCTTCGTAGCGAGATCATTTTGCGCCCATCCGGTTCCGCGGCATCCAACGCGCACACGCGAAAACATTGCGCGTGACGGCGGCTGATCTTCGTCTTTTATGCGTACATGATACATTTCTCTATTTGGAAAATAAGTGAGGAGAACTAGTACAAATGCTGCCGGAATTAACCTCCCTACTTCCATGCTGCCGTGGTCGTGCCACGCGAAATTCAGCTAGCGAACACTCAGCAGCGCAAAATCTGTCATCGGTGAATATTTGTCAGAATGGACGCCGTGCACGTGGCTTAGCCACGTGATCCGCTGCAGCGCCTAAGCTCACTTGTACTGCCTTAAAGATCACCTGCGCCGTATTACAACGAACGTTATTATTGCTACAGACGCATCGCAATCATTTTGCTGCGCTACCTCCGTGCCTTCCCATGACCCTCGGCTAAGCTTTGTTTTGTGCTCCGCAGCACTGGGTTAGATGAGTTTCAGCGAACCCCACCAGCCTCCCAAACCACTTACTGAAAGCTTCCCTGAAACCAACCACGTACGTAAACAAAATAAAATAAAAAAGTTCGAATGCACCTTTTTTGAGTAAGAACAGAAAACTCCAACGAAATAGCCGATCGTCCAACGACTAATCGTCCACGCAGCGGCGGAAGGAAGGGCGAATATAATCCGTGACCTCGGCACCAAAGGCTAAACAAAGGCGTTTATTCGCAGAGTTCTCTGGAGGAAAGACGGAGAAAGCGTGACACGACGGCGACGTTTGTTGATTCCCTGCATCGCGGGCGCCAGCAAAGCAATAGAAGGGCGGGGGTCAACGTTTCCCACATGCCATCCACCGCCATGGGCAGGTTCATCCTTTGGCCCAAAGAACACGCACCTGCGAAAAAAGCGCAGAGCGTAGTGTACCCGACAGCATGTGCCGACTGCCCCGCTTCGTACGTTGGAGAAACCAAGAACTTCCCTGAAAGAATGCGGCCGCACAAGGATGACCTCCATCAATGGAACAGCGAACGGAGCGAAACGGCAGAACACTCCGACCAGTTTAACCCCCATACCAGACCCGAGGGCGCGGTGTCTAGCTGGTTGCTTTGTTTTGTACTCACCCTGCATTCCTTGGGATGCACAAATAGCGCGAAAGCTTAGGTACGAGAAACTTGGGCCTGGGAAGCGCCCGTGCCGTCAAGATTTTTGCAGTGTGGACTGGAAGAGAACAATGACGGGTAAGGGACTTCCGGAAGTTTGAATAAAAAAAGAAAAATACTATACAAAAACGCGGGCGTAGCTCATCGAAATCAGAACTGGTGGCCCTTGGCCTCCGAAATGGCCCGCCGCGCGCCAGTAGGCAATCGCGGAAGCCTACATTAGCGCTTTTAATGGGGGGGGGGGGGCGCGGAAATTATCACGGGCATAATGAGGGGCGCGGAAATATATTTGCCCTGGGCGCCGTCCTATCTAGTTACGCCACTGTACCTGTGCATTTGAGAAAAGTGCGATTAGTTTGGGTGCCTGGATGTAAAGGTTTGTTTCTGAATGAAATAGCCGATTCCTTAGCTAAGTCGTCAATCAGCGAACCAATTCTACCGCTCTGTCCATCATCCGCTTATGTGACTGCTGCTCGATTCCGCAGACGTACGCTTATGCAAGTCTTTAAAGGTTCAGCACTAACAAACTCTACAGAATATCGCCATTTATTATATCCCTGGCGAAGAGACTTTTGCCGCACTCGAAAACAAGAAGTAGCTATCACAAGGCTGCGTTGCCGGGTACCAAATCTAAATTTCTATAAACACAGGTCTGCTCAGGCACCTTCGCCACTGTGCGCATTCTGTGATGAACTGGAAACAATAGACCATTTCTTTTTGACCTGCAGGCGGTTTAACACATTACGAAAAACCCTATTAGAAATACCTTTGCGTGGCATTGGTATGGACTTATCTCTGCCTTTCATTTTGTCTTTTGGAGCTTCCATTTCTGGTTTCTCTAATGGCACAGTATGCGCGGCCGTCCGGGACTATATTGATGAAACTAATAGGTTGACTAATTAACCAGTTTCATTATCTTAACATGCCCACATAATTACATACGTATAAAATCAGATTATTGGTCTATTCTAAGAATAAATTTGTTTATGTAAATATTTGTATGCATTACATTAAGCACCGCACTTGCCTATAGGCTATCGGTAATCTTTCTGTTATGCCTCCATCATTCTAAATCTGAACAGTAAATTTTAAAGCCACTCGATTCTTGGCCAATCCCCCACAGTGGGTATGCGCCACTAACAATAGGAGAACAACAACAACAACCAAGAGCTGCACCTTCATTTCAAGGCCGGGGTACAGGTAACAGCGCCGTCATGCAAAGTTTGGACATAGAAGAAGCGTCCATGGTCGACAGCATACCTGACGTGGTGACTGTCCAAGACAAACGTCCACCGCCAATCATTCCCGACTACGTGGTGAACATTTTCACTGTGGTGGTGGTTCTGTTTGTGTCCATCGCATTGGTCGTCATAGGCGTGTCCTTCGGACAAGATGTCGACCGTGCCGTCAAAGGTATCTTCAAGGACATTGAGAACCCGGACCTGCGGCTCAAAGGCAATCACGTGATACCACTCGCTGTGTTGAACGATTGAAGATGCGCACACGTGGTATTACACACCCCGGATTGTGTCGCTGTTGTGCTGCTTCGGCGTCATGGTTTGACGGACAGCGTATTGTGCCGTGTATAGTACAACGCCGAACGCAAGCCTCTGGGACTTCTTTACAGAACGGTTCTATTACCGAAGGTCGACACGCACCCTGAAGCGGCCCGATTGTTTACAGGAAAGAAAGTTGCGGCTGGCCACGAAACAAAAAAAACACGATAATATTTTGTCTTTATTTAAGTCTTCGACTCTTATCTTCATTAAAGGACGCCGTACTCACGTAACTGCGCATGTTATCAGCAAAATGTGGCAATACTGCGGAACATCTAAGGAGCATCTAAACGTTAGCGGTACTTATTTCATAAGTACATGAATATTTACCGATGACAATCATTGGTTCGTGGTGCTCTAATTTTACTCAAGCGAAGTTAAACAAGTTACACCACTCAAAACACACGAATTTCCCGCCAATGTCTTATGCCAAGTCAATTAAAGTGCTTGTCAACTACCAACGCTCATCTGTGCTATTCAGACTATATAGCATAAAATAATCACACTAGTATTTACAATTATGATGATTTGCATTAAACATTAGTGAAAACTTGTTTTTCGCTTCAAAGTGATCATCGTCTCATTTTAGTCAATATCTATTGTTTATGTTAGCAACGTTGAGCAGACAGTTTTTTGTATATATTTTGTTTTCCTACTTTCCTTCTTTCACTTGTAGCTCCGTTGCCGTGTTTTACGTGTGTTAAGCCTGTCTCTGAGTTTGTGAGCTTTCTTACGAGTGCGAAAGTAAGTATTCTTCTCATTAGTAACGCTTAGTTGACTTTGTCACTAGTGATCAACGGCGATGATGAGTTAACCGGCGGCAGCTGCTTGATTCACGGCGTTTCGTCGCTCTCATCGGCGGCATGGAAGCCGGCGTGACCGCTAATCACTGGTGTTATTTCAACGTTGGCGAAGTGGTCACGCTGGCATTTTCGTCATTGTAAACACATGCGAATCGTAGTATTTGTGCAAAAAAGGTTCGAGACCCGTTTAGCGCAGCTTAGCGTTGTGGACTTACTAGTAGCCACTCGGACGTTTCGAGTGCGATCGCCGAAGTGACTCGCTTGCTAGCCGTATGTCAGTGGAATTCTTTAAAATCGGCGCTGTAGTTATGGACAGTTATGCATGCGAGTAGGTTCACGTCCATTACGAAACTTCAGCGAGCTGCTTACTTATGCATTGTAAGCGCGTGAACAGCGCTGACGCAATATGGTATCGATGTATGCAAGTTCCATTGCCGGGTTGTCAAAACTAGGGTAGGCATGTAAAAGATAGCAGATTCGTTTGTCCTTCACTTGTAGCAGCTGACTAAGGCGTGCATAATATGAGCCGCCAGGCTGAGGCCGGCCGTGTTGATGTTTGACCGTTTCTTTTCAGGTAACCGCTAGCCATGAGCAGATTTTTCGCCACCGGATCGGACTCTGAGTCCGAATCTGAGTCATCGGAGGAGGAGCAGATCCCGCAGAAGGCAACAGCCATCACATCGTAAGTAGTCCGTCGTGCATGAGATAATGATATTCTCTTTCTCCCGGTGACTAGTTGGCCAACTCGAGTTGTAACGCGCCTTACTTTCGCTGCTTAAGCTTGTGATGCCAACCGTTGTGTGTTGCTGTGGCAGAGCCGACTGTCACACTCGGCAGTGTGTTTTTACCGTTAGCATTTCTGTATGCCTTCGTGGCATTCATTTAGAATATTTATATTGAAAGATGTTGCTAATTCACAGCACTGTCGGGCCACGGCACATATGCAGCTTGAACCATGATAGGCAGAGGGCAGCGTCATTGGTAAACAGCTTGCCCGACATCCCACGCCCTTCCTCCCATTTTGTATGCCTCAAATATGTTGCATTGATTCTACATTGACATACATAAGCTGCATGAATTGGTAGAGTCTTTGGTTTAGTCTGACTTGGCTAGCAGCAAATGAAGTGCCCACTTGAAGTGATGTAATGTACCCTGCATGTTTCCCAATCCCGGGTCATTTGTTAGCGTTGAACACAGCTAAAATAGCATTTGTAGTTTGTAGGGTACAGAGCACAATGGGCAGTGAAATTACGATGAGACAGGAATCTACTTATCCGTACGACTGACTTTGCATCAGCCACAGAGGAGGGGGTAGACTGATACTGTTTGCAGTGCTAAAAACGTCTTGGAGTTATCTCTGAAGAGCTCTGTTATGTGTCTATCTTTTTGTGTTGAATGGGAGGCTCACTTGTGTCTTTTTTCCCCACAGGGCATATGCCTTCAGCGATGATGAGGAAGAAGCCAAGCGTGTTGTTCGCAGCACGCGAGAGAAAAGGTAAAGAAAATTAGATGTGAAGCTTAACAAGGCTCTTTCACATAATCGTGCTCATGCCTGCATTTTCTAAAGCACCTGCTCAAGGTGTTCTTCAGGTTGCAATTGTACATGAAAGGATGTGGTGCAATCACATTTGTGCTACTAATGGGATAGCTGCCATGTTTGCTTTGCAGGTTTGAGGAGCTGACTGACATCATCAAACAGATCAAGAACCACAAAAAGATCAAGGATATGAGTAAACTTTTAACAAGTGAGTTTTTTTTTTTACTGAAACATGTTTCACATTCAAAGTTTCGTTGATTCATACTGCTGAAACGGCGCCACAAAGTAAGACGAAAGCACGAGCAAGGACCACAATGAGTTGTGGTCCTTTCTCATGTGTTTCGTAGTAATATGAACACGCGTGTTTCGTGGTAGTAGCAGACCAACTTGCCCAGTCGTCAGTCCTTCTAAGCGGTTGGGCCCTGGCATTCACTGGTTTCAATATGTTGTCATTATTTCGAAAAACTCAAAACTGACCTACTCGTAGCATCGATTCACTGGCAAGATGGATGCCATGGTTATATATCTTATTTAAAAAATCTGTTTCAAATTTTAAGCAACTATAGACAGCCTTGTCATCATACAGTGACTGTAATAAAATTGATATATGCAGAAATTTTGCTTCAGGGAATAATAATCTGAGAATAGGATGCAGCCAATATTCTGGGAGAAGATTCAAGCCAATATTCAATACATTCAAGCCAATATTCTATGCTGCTTTGAAAAAGACAAGGCCACTTGAATGTTGGCTGCAGTGACAGCCCATGTTCAGGGATATTAGTTCAGGAAATTACTTATGTTCGCTATCCCTAGCAGGTCCGTCTAGTTGCTATTTGGTTTTCAGTAAATTTTATTGAGCAATTGTTTTTGTGGTTTGTCTTCCGCTTGGTGATTATCTGAACGTTTACTTTTCCAGGTTTTGAAAACTTGACAAAGGCCTTTCAGAAAGCCAAAGTGGTCATTGATAAGGAAGAAGGGGGCAACATTCCCAAGTTCTTCATTCGGAGCCTTGTCGAGCTCGAAGACTTCGTGACGGAGGTACGAAGTCAGATAGCACATGTTGGCACTTGTTGGGCTTTTTGCAATTCTTCTGCAGCATGTTCTGCCTTGATAATTGGCTTATACCGTGATAGCATAGCACTTTACTCTGAAGATTTTGCTAGCTTAACGGCTAGTTTAGCTGTTGGCTACATTAGGCAGTTTAAATCATTTGTCATCTACGGAGTGTTTATGTGGAACACTTTCTGCGTGAACAGAAACTTCGTCTTGTGTTCGGATATTATACCGGAAAGTGAGACAAGTACTTCATTAGTTGATAATGGAAAACAGGTTGACAGTGTAAACATAACATAGCACACTCATACAATGCTAACGAGTGGACTTTTAGAAATGTTGCTACTGATGAAGTGCTGTTGAGAAGTTCTTTTCAGACTGAAGGAAGAGTTTGTTCAATTGTCAATCCTTTCCTAGAATTTTCTATTGCTTTTGTGTGTTGGCCAGTTGTTGACTGTTTTCAGAATTGGTGTGTTTCTCTGTTGGTGTGGCTACAGCGAGAATAGAGATGGGGCAGGTGGCCTCATGTTTGTTTTTTCCCCGTCTTATTCAAACTGAAGTGCTGGGAGGACCGTGAGGGGCGCAAGAACATGTCCAAGAACAACTCCAAGTCGCTGGCCACCCTGCGGCAGAAGTTGCGTAAGTACAACAAGGACCACGAGGCTGACATCGCCAAATATCGTGAGAATCCAGAAGAAGAGGACGAAGAGCGTGAGGATGACGAAGACAAGGGTGTGTTAAAACCCTTTCTGTTTATTCATTCTATGTAAGAATACAAAGAGATAAATAAGCTCACATAAGTAATTTGAACCCTGCAATTCCAAATAAAGCTGCTCTAACCCCAGGGAGAGGCTTCGTAAATTGGAAAAAGTGCAGAAACACAGTGCTGGTTGATGCCACTGGGCTAATGTTCCTGCATCGGCTTGCTGTAATGTTGTGGATTTTGATGACTTGTTGTCATGCCTAGCTGATTTTTTCAGAGATAAAGATCTACTACTTTGCATTCTGAAAGATTCGGTCTATGAGATTACAAGTTTAGAGGCATTTAGGCTGTAAGGTTACCTAATTAGAGGCATATTCTCGTCCTTAGGACACTTTAAGCAGTTGAAAGTTCATGAAACTAGTTAAATTTTTGCTCCTTTAGAGTGGGGTGTTCTTACGTTTGACAAGAAATTGTTTAGGTGTGAGGTAGTTGAGTCGAAATACTCATCACAACAAGCTGGTGCGGGAACTTGAGTGTGACATTGGCGCCTGTCTTTTATTTCGATATAATTAGCTATGTTCTTGTTCGTGCTAACTGTGAGGTGCGGTTGTTTTTGCCATTAATTCTCTTTAAAGTGGCAGCACGATGTTTTACCATTTGCAAAGTGGTAGATTATTTGTTTCACCCTGTGTTAATTTCACTGTGTAGTATACTTCTATAGTGTCGCTACAGTATTGGTCCAATGATCTTTGACGCTTTTGCCGCTGTGGCTCATTGGCTTGTTTTATAACGTGACAGTTTAGGTTTTTCAGAAGTGCCTGCCACCATGCCACCATAGGTGGTCCTAACTGCATATTTCTGTGTTGCATTCAGACTCTGATGTCGACGACGAGATGAGCTTCAAAAAGAAGGTGTCCTCGAAAGCTGATAAAGACGATGCGAAATCCAAGTTCGTCAAGGGTGGCTCTGATGACGAGGTAAAGTGTTTCTTGCAGATTCATTATTTTTGAAGGTCACTTCTTTTTTTTCCATTTGCATTATGTATTCAGATGCTGTCTTGTCGAACTTCAACTTTGCTCTGTGTAAGATTCCTTTTTATCTTACAGTCGGATGACGATTCAATGGATTGGGGATCATCGGATGAGAGTGAAAGCTCTTCGTCGAGCGACGACGAAAAGTATGGCGGAAACCTGGCCAACAAGTTCTTGAAGAAGTGAGTGTCTTTAGTTTTACGCTGCTTTATGGTTTTGTGTAGTGTGGATGTTGTAAAACCTGAAATACTGCTGTCTTTCAACTTCTCACTTTGATGCGAGAAGTCTTTTTTGGTGGATTTGATGAAAAAGGCTTCATAAGCAGTTTGATGATTCTTGCTTAAAACAGTGACCTTGTGTGACAAAATATATGTGTTTCAAAGGTTTCTTTGGCGAAATAAGGATATGCAGCATCAGTGATGTGCTTTGCCTTATGAACAGTGTCGGTGTGTGATGTTTCGTTGACTTTATATTCTTATTTTTAGACCTCAATGATTGAGCCATTAATTTTTTCTTTACTGATTACTTTTCTTTATAATATAAATTTTTTTTTCCGTTACCTCTGTAAATAACATAGCTATCATGATTAATTAGTATTTTGCCTTTGTAATTGTACATTTTGGCCTTCAATTATTTTTTTAATGTATGATAAATCAAATTTAATGTGAAATAACTTAGTCACATCAATTATGAGAAACCACATATTTACAGCTTCCTGAGATGGGCAAAAAACATTCTAGGTCTACTTTGTGACATCTGTTGCTATTGTATCGAGGTTGATCTTTATGCAGGAGAAGTTAAATAGCAGTAACAATAACGAAAATCTCAATTTTTCTCATGCCATGCGGTAACGGTTCCTATTTTCATTACCGCTTTTGTATATGTGCCCGTGACAGCAAGTGAAAATGCGAGGCATCTTTTCAGATGTGACTTTGTCTCGGCCTATGTAGTGGACCATGACCATCGTGTTGAACAGTTTGTTAAAAAATTTTTAATGGGTTAGCATATGCGGCTAACCGGAAAACCCCAATCCTACTTTGGTTTCGCATGGGACTCTCCTGTCTTGAATACATCTTGAAAGTAAAGGTAGAGTTAAAATTACAGCGCCGAAAAGAGTGTGCCTGACCAACTTGCAATAACTCGCGCCACTCTGAGCATTGTGCCTCGTCAAAATAATATTGCAAATAGTGGCAGCTTTAGTCCATCTGTGATAATCCTCGTAGCGAGTTTTGTATGCTGCCCCACACATTTTTCGTTAGGGCCCACCAGCCCTCATTAATGGCATTAGTGGCTTGCCTGTGCAAATCGTTCGTGTTGGCATGTTAATTGAATCTTGAATTTGGCCTACCCCAACAGCCGAGCTGGTGGTGAGAAGGACGAGCAGAAGGAACAGCGTCGTCGTGAGAAGAAGCGAGAGCAAAAGGACAAGCGCCGTGAGGATGACGAGGAAGGATGGGAGGAAGTCAAGGGTGGCGTGCCGCTCATCATGGTTGGTGTTCGTTTCTTGCTTTGCTTCTTCGCTCCTGTCGTTTCCTCGTACACTGATTTAGTGCAGAGATCTGTCCAAGTACGTGCACTTGTATTGCCTTCAATGTTTACCAACAACGCTTGATCTACGAGACAAGGGACGAAGCGCTGAAGCAAAGTGCCCATCCTTCCACCACAGAGGTAGCAGCGTCGTCTGCAAGCTGTGTGAACAAAACGAGAATGGTGTTAGGAAAGGCTAGCCTGTTTATTGAACGCTGTTATTTGGGTTGGACCATGGGGCGATTAGCGACACAAATTTGGCAAGCACTCCTCTTTTCATTTGACGTAACGTGGATGGTAGAACCACCTCGTATTGCAGTTGGCTGTGAGAAGCGCACATCGTGATAAGATTGTGGGTTTCACTCTTGCTGGGTGCTAGTTATTGTACCTGAAGTTCATCTTTTCTTAGGCTATCAGTATGCTTTAATTGAAACTGCAAATAAAATTTTTTGTGCTTTTCTTGGCTGCATTATTTGCGGATGTAGCAGGTAAGGGAGTTAACTTTAGTAGACTAACAAGTTACTGTTTATACTATGTACTGTCATGCTAAGTGTGACTTGGAATATGCAGGGTTTTGCTATCTAATCCACTCAGAGGTTGAAATTTAATTGTGTTGTTGTGGCTGTGTGTAAGTCTGCAATGAATACGTAGTTATGAGAATTTTTTGAAAGGGTGCCATAATAGCTGAGCTACATGCATTTCAAGATCTATAAAAGTTCCTCCCTTGTTTCGCTCTTTTCTTCGCTAGGCTCCATTTGTGTAAGGAGGAAGAGCAGCAAGTGCTCATACCCGTGTGCAGACAAACAGGTTCATCATGTGGATCGCATGGGCAGATTAGAATGTTGATGGCACGATGAACACTGAAGATTACGGAAAGGCACCGAGAGGAAAAGGGACTGCTTCTAGGAATTTGTGGGGTGCTCGCAGCGTAGTGTTGCCACGCTTGGCATTGTTGATCGTGACTAGGTTCTGAACTTGGTGTGTGCATTTGCTTGAAGCATTAAAAATTTATCGGATATGGTTTAGGAGCCCTTTAGGATCACCCACAGCTTCCACAAGCCTTCACATCCACATCGAAATGCTGTTCTCTCACTTTGGAATATAGCCAAGTAAGGAAATATACTGTATTTACTCACATAATAGGTGCACCCCCAGTTTTGTCACAAGAAATCAGATTTTTTTATTACTGCGCATAATAGGCGCTCCTCGAGCTTGCCCGTGATCAGTATTTCTGTACTATATTTGCATGGTTGCAATTGGACGCCCTCTTACGTTAACTGAAGTGAGAAAAAAAAAAAAGAGAAAAGGATTGCGCCAGCTCCGTGGGCTTGTCGAGTGAGAAAGTAGGGTGGTTGCCTGGGTGTCGGAGTAACTTCTGCACTGGCGCCGGCGTGGTTCCGGCTGCTAGCTGGTTAGCAAGCTACGCATGGAATGCGTGCGTCCGGCTACGGTATATGATGTAGTAGTAGGAAACAAACTTTTGAGAAATTTTATTCTGCGTAATAAGCGCATCTTAACTTGGAGTCGGATTTTCTGGAAAAAAAAAAACGATGCCTATTATGCAAGTAAATAGGGTAGTTTAGTTGGGTGAATGAGGGCATGGCTAAAGCTACGCGCAGTCACAAGGCCATGCACTCCCGTGTTGCAAGATGTATGGAATGTGACTGTACATATAGCCATCGGAAATCGAAAGCGTTGGGGGTGGTGAGAACGAGCGGGCATCTTTGTTTTTGTTTTTTGTGTTTGTTAATGCAATGCATCTACAAAGTTTCCGGACAGCACCCGTAGTGTGAGGCAGTGGTTCCGGCTGCTGTGTTGTAGCTGCATGGTACATCTGAAATCTACTGTGGCTTCATAAAAATTTGTCTCGCAAAGTTCCGCAAGCACTTTCCAATGCCAAAACATTGGATGCGCAGGAGAAACCCAAGATGTTTGCCAAGGACGCTGAGATCAACCACCAAGTTGTGCTGAAGAAGCTGAATGAAATCATGGCCGCTCGAGGCAAGAAGGGCACCGACCGTTCGGAGCAGATTGAGCTGCTTAGCGAGCTGCTGGCCATCTCGCAAGCCCACAACCTGGGTCCCGGCTTTCAGCTGAAAATCGTCTTTGCTGTCGTGTCGGCCATCTTCGACTACAACCCCAACATAGCAACCTGCATGAAGCTCGACATGTGGCACAAGTGAGTTGAAAGGAACCCACATTTCTTGGGAAGTCATGCGTGCCGAGTGCTGCAGTGGTTAAATGGAAACATTACATTTTTAAAAATTTGTGAGAGAGACGCAAGAAAACAAGCTCTATTTTTACCTTTGAAAAGTGTATCTTTCAAGATTTAGTTGAATAGCAGTCAATTTAATAAGTGCAGCATAGTCTGTTCCTGGAAAGTGTCCTAGAAGTTTAGCTGCCACTGATTTTTTCAATTCCTAATTGAATTAATAGCCTGTGGCAGTAATTATGAATAGTACAGTGATGCTGTGTGTCAAAGTGAGTTTTCATTGATGTGCACAGGTGCCTGGAGTTCATCAACATGCTTCTCGACATTTTGATCGAGAACAGCAACATCTCGGTTGGCGAGCATGTTGCGGAGGAGTCTGAGAGTCTGGTGACACCACCGTACAAAGTTAAGGGATGCATCCTCACTGTGGTTGAACGTATGGACGAGGAATTCACCAAAATTCTTCAGGTGAAATATCGCTTCCACTGAGTGATACATCTAGCCGTGTTTTACGTGTAGTGAGCTTGCAAGTGGGACTTGGCTACTATCTTTGTCCACTTGTGGCTTAATGCTAAGGTCTTCCCTTTATGGAAGTCCTAGCTCATACTATGTGTAAGCATGCCATATTATGAAAGGTTTTGTTTTGTTAGGTAGCTTTTCACAATCTTGCGGATTCACTGCTTTCACGAAGTTTAGTTAACGTCCGATTTCCTAGAACCTTAAGAACGATTTGCGAAAAGTATGAAGCTCGCATGGATGAAAACAATTGCGAAGGCAGTTGCTCGTGAAAGGCAGTTGCTTAACTGCCTTTCACGAGTCTGTAAGCATGTCGACAGCAGACCTCAGGTTAACAGCTTATCTTTTCTCATTGTCGGAGCACAGCACCATGTGGCTGTGGCCACAGGTTTGACTAAAGTGCGGCTGGCAATGGATTCGCGTGCGCTAGCTTGCAGCATTTGCGGTTTCGAAGGTATGACCACAGCAGCCGCATCGCGGTGTTGCTGGCCGCATCTGGGATGCGAGTATGGTGGGTTTGAGGGTACACGAACGACCAAAATGGTGGCAATAATAGCTGGAGTGTGCGATTAGTGGTAAAAAGTCCGGAAAATCGAATGGCAAAAGCTGTAAACCTCCGAAATTTTGTGATACATTGTCTCTGCGGGGAACTTGCCCTGTCGTGGTAGTCTAGTGGCTAATGTACTCGGCTGCTGTCCCGCAGGTCGCGGGATCAAATCCAGGCTGTGGTGGCTGCATTTACGAAGAAGGCGGAAATGTTGTAGGCCCGTGTGCTCAGACATGGGTGCAGGTTAAAGAACCCCAGGTGGTCTAAATTTCCGGAGTCCTCCACTATACGGCGTCTCTCATAATCATATGGTGGTTTTGGGACGTTAAACACCACATATCTATCTATCTGTTCATGGGGAACTTGATGTTGCCGCAGATGAGTCCGAGAAATCGTGCATGTCCGGAATTTCAGGCGTTTGAGAAATCGAACGATGACTGTAGATGTTAATTGTTACTTAGCAGAAAAAGCATTAGCCCGTGAAGCCCTTCGTATTTTTGCTAGTGTTGTTGAGCAGAATGCACGCCAACACTAGCATATTGAGGTCTCCTTTAACTTTGGAACGAAGCTTTGTCCCAATGGCTACATTGTCGATGCTGATAAAATTTGTATACTGATACATTACCAAGCACAAAAACAGAAGTTCTCAGCTGTGGATATGTTTGCGAGCTCTCGTAGATTAGAGAAGACAATGAAATTCCCAAATTTAATATGAGAGTGAAGAAAGCTTCATTTGGGGATTATTTTTGTGGTAGTTTTTAAGTGTCACAAATGCTTTATGTTCTTCGTTCCCAGTCTGTTAGATGAGAGTACTTGCCCTTATGTTTTCTTTTTTTTGTATCCTGCAACCAGGGTTGTGATGCCCACTCGCCAGAATATGTGGAACGCCTGAAAGATGAGAAGAATGTGTGCGACATCATAGAGCGACTGCAGGGTTACCTGGAAGGCAGGGGTTCTGCTTCAGAACTCTGCCACATCTACCTTCGTCGCATCGAGCACCTCTATTACAAGGTGAGGAAACTTGCAGAGTTGTGAGGGCTCTCTAGAACGTTTTCTGTTTCGGAAGTGGTGTGTGCCGATTTCACTAGGGTATAGAAGACCTTAAAGGCGTGTGTAGCTTTAGCTAGCGTTTACGAGGACTTCAAAGGAGTGCTAACATTGCGTGCTTGATTTTTGTTTTTCAAAGGACCCCTGACAGCAAAACCTTTGTTCGTAACTTTTTGTATTGTAATTTGTAGCCTTGTGTCCAGTAATGCCAAAATTGAATGGTAAATGCTTTAACATATCATATAATTAATCCTAGTGTCATTAAATATGACCAATTTTAGTGTCGTTTCAAAATGCCCGCCTAAGTTCATAAGAAACTAGCACCGCACAGTGGGCGGGTGCCCAAGACCATGTGCACTCAAGCTTTGGTGACTCTGAATGCGCAGTTTTCAAATGTTGGACCCGCATGTGGTGAAGAATGAATTGACATGGGTGCTTTGAGCGTGTCCTCTTCAAGGAAAAGCATTCCTGGCGTAAGCAGCCAAAACCAAGCCAAAACCACCTTGGTAGCAGCCTGCAATCGAGTGAGAGAGACGAGGACCATTAGCATCGCTGGGTGCCAGTCATGGTTTTACCGTATATACTCGCATAATGAGCGCACTTTTTTTTTTTTTTCAAAAACATTGACTCCAACTTCGCGATGCGATCAATACATGGGGTAAATTTTCCGTGAAAAAATATTCTGAGCATTGGAAATGCAAGAAAGTCACTAATCAGAATTCTTACGATAGCTATCATGAAAGTAACCAAAAATAAAAATAAATAATGCTTACGTTGGTAATAAAATGCATGCATTACGCAGGAGCTACATGCATGGCACACTGCCCTTTTATTTTTTACCTCTCTTACCCCCAACGTTCATTCAGACTCCGAAGCATCACTGGCGTCAGTGTTGTTGCCGCACGATTCCCTGTCGGAACCGGCAGTGTCTTCACTGTCCCACAGAGGGTCATCTTCCATTCCGTCGAGCGCATTGGAAATGCCAGCGACAGTTCATTCCGCCGCATGAAGCGTGTCGTCCAGCCGGAACTGGCGCAGAAGTCCTTTGTGGCTATTCCCAGCCTCTGGGAAACTGTGCACGCCTGCGTCCGTATAATGTCTAATGATACTGCATAACCATCCTTGCGCATGTCCTTCGCGAATTTGAGGACTGCCTTTTAAATGTCGGGGAACTTGCCAGATTTGGGTCCGTGGAAAGCCCATCGCGTGCTGTTAGTAGCCATGAGCATGTTGCGCTGTTTTTTCAAATATCGGATCCAGATTTCGTCCACGCCGAAATGTCTGCCGGCAGCGCGGTTGCCGTGCTCTAGCGCGTAGTCAAGTGCCTTCAACTTGACGTATAACGCCCCATGGTGAAACGGCGCTTCAACAGACAATCACAAAGCACACAAAAAAAATGTGGTCTAGGGAAAAAAAAAAAAAACATTGCTGCGGGATGAACACAGGTCGACCAACAGGCGGCCGCCGCTGTAACAGTGCGGGATGTCAAAACAAACATGGCGGCTGACGGAGCGAAGCCCTCTGTGGAGCGAAGCCACCGCATTTTATTTCTTCATTGCGTCGGTTATGGAGGTTGTGAGTACGTCACGCGCGCCAGAACAGTTTCTTCCATCTAAATAAGAATGCTTTAATTTAAATCGATAAATATACAGCATTAGCATAGTGATGCCTGCCTTCAGATCACAGAAACAATGATAGGCGCGGCGCCTTCAGCTAGACTTGGCACATGACATGTTGATGTGGCAAGTTCAGGGTGCGATCATTACGCGGGGAAAAGGAAAGTCGAATGCTGACGACAAAATTTAGGGGTGCGATCATTATGCGAGTGCGATCATTACGCGAGTAAATACGGTATGTGTGCCCCATATGTTTGTGAAGTCGACAGCACTTGCTTTCTTTTGGAATGCCACTAAGGGCTGTTGTCTACGTCATTTTAGTGGTAAAGTCACAAGGTGCTCAAAACCCTGTGTGCTCATGCTTACAGTAAAACCAAATTAAAATACCTTTAGGGCAACGTTTGTTCATCACAATGATCAGAAGTGTCACTCATGCAGGCTGATCAAGCAGTAAAATCATCTAGAGTTCCCAATTTAGCGTCGGGGGTGGGGGTTGGGGGTGCGAGCATGTAGAATAATTTAGTACGATACATGGCACGACTCATGAGCATCATTGGTTTGATTTATTGCCATGGCAACCCCATTTTTTGGGGGTGAAATACAGTGACATCCTTCGACTTACTGAATTAGGTGCTCATTGGAGACCGTCAGGTGGTCAGAATAAATTTGTAGACACTCACCATGGCCTGCAGACCTACCATTAGCAACTCTGGCTGCATGTGACTGCATTTGTCCTGTCCTATATTAAAGAAGAAAGTTCACGTTTGTTCATGAGCTGTACAGACATGACTGGCCTGAGGCATTTTCTTTTTCTTTTTGTAGTACACCTCACGCAGCCACCATGTGTTTAAATACAACCCTAAAACAGAAAATACATTTCTGAAGTACTGGCTGTTGGGCTAGTTAGTGCAGTTGTAAGTATCAATAGTCAATTTTATGCAGAAAATTACATTTAATTGTGAATATTTAATCCTAATTTGCCCCACGGCAGTTCGACCCTACTGTCCTTGCTCAACGCACCAAAGGGAAAGGTGGCGATGCCACCACCGAAAAGCAAGACACAGACACCGAAAAAGCGCCGGCTATGCCCGAGAAGGCCCCCGAAACAAAATCAGCGGAGGCTCCGGTTATGAACGAGGCCGGCGGCGATCAGCCTGCCGCAGTGCCCGAAAGCGAGCAGAAGCCACTCCCGCAGCCACCAGCCAAGAACAGCCTGGAGCAGATGGAGCAGCTGTGCAAGTTCATCTATGCCAAGGACAGCACGGACCGCATCCGTACGCAGGCCATCCTCTGCCACATCTACCACCATGCACTGCACGACAACTGGTATCAGGCGCGAGACCTCATGCTCATGTCTCATCTACAGGAGAGCATCCAGCATGCAGACGTGCCCACCCAGGTACGTGTGGTGCTGACACGTGTCGTGGAATTTCTTGAACCTTTCCGTGTAATCAAAGAGCCGGTTTCAACCGCTTGTTTTGGGTTGAAATGCCTTGTCATAGTGCTTTAACATGCCTCTTGCAAAATCCTTGCCTCTTTCAAATTGCTGCAAAATCCCGTTGCATCGGGAGTGCAGCAGGGATTTAATTCGTGTGGAAGTATTGATCAACATACTGGTGCGAGAGGTTCACAAAAGGGTGGCTCTTGGTCGAGTTCGAGATAACAGCATGGCTTGGAAGGAATTGGGTTTTCGGGTCTGTCAGAATACAAAGGTCTTTAAAGTTCATTACTCTGCGAGTTTGATGCTGAAAGCTAGCAGCTGTTTTTAATTTATGGGCTTATTTATATTTTGTATGAACTAATTTTGGGCATGTACCGTAATTACTCGAATCTAACGCGCACCTTTTTTCCGGTTAAGCGAGTTCATAAATCGCATGCGCGTTAGAATCGAGTACGAACAAAAAAATTACGGTCAATCTATTGCCATCGGCAAAACCAAAATGGCCGCCCCCTACGTGCGTCGGCATGGCGCTTCAGCCATTTCTGCCTATGTGTTTCCCACGTGCGGCACTTCGTACGTGTGCTGAGGAGTTCGTCATCTAGTAGTGCATTAGCATCAACGGCGTGGAAGGGCCGACTTTAAAACTCGAGTGCACCACGATGCCGCTTTTAAAAGAAAAGTCATCGCGTGTGCAGAAACGAACGGAAATCGGGCCGCATCGCGGTCGTTCGGAGTTCCCGAAATGTGCGTGCGAGACCGGCGGAAACAAAAGCAGAAGATTGTCGACAGCAAAGCTTCACGCAAAGGCTTCAGTGAACCACAGCAGGGTCGGTTTCCGCAAATTAAAGAGCTGCTCGGCGAGTATGTGCTTGAGCAGCGAGCGGCATAGCGGCCCGTGACGACAGAACTGCTGCAAGTGCGGGCTATGCAATTAGTCTTAGAAAAAGGTCTAATGCGGAGCCACTTTAAAGTGAGCAGGTGCTGGCTAGCTAACTTTATGAAGAGGAAAGGCTTTTCCCTCCGAAGGGGAACATGCATATGCGAAAAGTTTTGTGAAATACGATGAAAAGCTTCACAGTGTTCAGAGGTTCGTCCTAAACTTGCGGCGCAACAACGGCTACCTGCTTGGGCAAATCGGGAATGCCGATCAGACGCCTCTTTACTTCGACATGCCTGGCACCACAACCGTCGAGAAGAAAGGGGCGAAGCAAGTTCGCGTGCTGACATCGATCCACGGTAAAACTACAGTGACGGCAATTCTCTGTTACACGTCAGATGGGCACAAGCTTCGCCCGTACCTCATATTTAAATGGAAGACGCTACCGAAAGGAGTCGTTTTTTCGAGTGGTGTGATCGTGCAGGCCAGCGAGAAAAATGGGTGCGCGTTGCAATCGATGTCTTACATTTTTTTTTTTCTTTCGCGGTGAAAATCGGGTGCGCGTTACAATCGAGGGCGCGGTAGAATCGAGTAAATACGGTAATAGTTTAAGATTGCTTCATTAAAGGGGTACTGGCACAAAATTTCTCACTTATTGTTTTTTTTTTTTCATCAAATGATAGGCCAAGCACTTGAGAGTGTAGAAAATGTACCGGTAAGTGTGAGTGCGCCATGAAAAATTATTTACAACGTGCTTTTAAAAGCTAGTTTCTGTTCCTACTGTACGCTGACGTCACCACAGGTTATGAGTAGCGCCAGCAGGCGGTAATATGTGTGCGTACAAGTTATGTACCCTCGTCAGCACGTGGCATCTTCGATTGTCGATTGTCTGCTTCGTCTGCTGTGCACCTTACATGTGGAAACTGTTGTGGCAGGGAGGCTCTACGTTTGGATGGCATCATTTTAGTGCGGGACACATGGTGCAAATTCAGATGTGATTTGCCGTACGGCTGTTTGTGCCAACAGCCGCATCCGCGCAGGATCATGACATGCAGCGCCACTGGTGGGCGCCCGCTGCAGGTTTGTTTCTTGACACCCCGATAGCCCCGATCACCCTGGAATTTGTGGCTATTGCCATTGCTGGTGGCATAAAAATATTGGATAAACTGTTTGTGACATGAAATAACTCATGATTGAATAAAGTGGAGCTTGAAGTGGGCTATTTCTCCTTAGCAACACCCTTTTTCGAACTATCAACGAGATATCAAGCGATGATGGTAGGCTATTTCGCAGATAAACAAACAGTGGCACTGACCGTCAAAATGTTGGCGCCACGATGACAAATTCAACATAAAATAATTCCTTTGCCCTCTGATTGGCATATATATCGTATTTGCGTGCACGTACGCTATATTACAGACTCCTCTAGCTCGCTTCACAGGTACGATGAATTAGAGCACTGCACAGGCCTGGGTCGGCCCGAAAGCCCAGGTCCGGCCCGGCCCAGGCCCGAGTCAGGTCCGTATCAGGCCTGGCTCTCATAAATGGGGTGTTTCAAGAAATGAGTCTAACATTTTTGAAAAACTACAAAAAGGAGGCATCTGCATTCTGCGTGCGTTGTTCCTTTTACTTTGGCAGAAGGCATCTTCAGATGTATACAAATTATTACGGCAGTAATTAGGTAAATTAATACAATTGACTTCACACAATTTAAAACAATTGACTTTTCATTGAGGGTGTTTTCGAAGTGGATGGTTTGGTGCATCGGTTCCGGTTTCCCCAGCTAAATTAGCCAGATTTCATCGCTCAGCGGTCATTACAACTTGCTGCCTTTCCCAAATTTCAAAATGGCTATAGACTATTCGTAGGAAGAACTTAGGAAGAACGTAGGAAGTCTCCCATTTGACTCGACTAGTGATCTCGACTGGTAAAAAGGTAATTATTTTAATTTCTGTATTTACTGCCAAATTATTGTTTTTACACATCTGAAAATGCATTCTGGCAAAGTAAAGAGAATATAGCAGGTAGAATGCAGATGCCTCCTTTTTGTAGTTTTCAAATTATATTAGACCAATTCCTTGAAACACCTCGTATATCAATATAACGGCATGTCTACGCTGCTTGGCTTTGTTGTGTTGTGGGGTTTAACATCCTGAAGCGGTCCAGGTTACGTAAGATTCCATAGCTGAGGGCTTCGGCTAATTTATACCAGCTGAAGTGCGTTAGCATCTACTGAAATCGGAACATACATGATAATGTCTGGCATTTGGATCCATTGGTATGCTGCACGTTTTTTCAAGAAACACGTAATATATGTTTGCGGTAATATTTGCATACCGTAAGTAAAGATTTGCCAGGTAAAGTAAAGATTTGCCCATAAGTAAAGATTTGCCAACAGCAACGGTACACTGATAATGTCATAATAGTGTATATAATACGTGCACGCTGCTATCTAGGGAAAAATTTCGAGTATGCAGATACACACGCACGCTCGCCAAGCCTTTCTCCGCCTGCGTATACTACGCGACTCGCGAGTCACAAATAACTCTGGAGCTGTTGTTGGTGCTTTTTAACTGCGAGATGCGAAGTGACTTATCACGGGCGCGCCAAGCGATGGAAATGTTCCGAATTCTTTGTGCTAGCAAGGCAGTTGCAAATATTCAGCACTTGGCAGTTACCCGAAAATGTTAAGAATTTAACTGGAATGTTCATCATATAGAACAAGTTTTTGCTTGTTTTTACGGACACCGTGCTTTCCATAATTCGACAGTAATTCATAAGCGTCCTCATATGTCGAAGCGCAAGTGTTCTCATGGCACTAAATAATGTGCAAGCATTCCCGCAGGGGAAGCAAGAGTTTTATACAAGGAAGTTCATGATTAAGATTTTGATTTGCTGCTGTACACCTTGAAACAGAGGGGCGTGGTGTATAGGCATGGGTGCATTGACACCTTTTACCGGATGAATGTGCGACGGCTGCTGTGGCACCCGGAGTTCAAGAATATTGCATCCCTTCAGACTATTTCCCCCCAATTTCTGCCATTTGTTTGGGTATTAACGGATAAGTAAGACACATCAAAACTGGAAACATGAGCTCCTACTCCTGTGATAAATTGAATGTACACAGGTCGCACGCACTAAGTTTATCTTTCCTTGGTGTCTGCAGAGGACCAAGCTGCTTGTGTCATACAGTCTTGCAAGCTGCATAGTTGCAAGGAAACTATGTGCGCTGTCATAACAAGAGTGAATTGAGTCAAATACGATGTGTTGTACTCGCGATTGTTGATATTGTAGAGAAGCCTCCGAACACTCAAATGGGTCGAACTCTCGAGTGCTTTCTAGTTGGTCTACCCAAAAAGGACGCCGCTCGCGCGGAGAGCCCGTGCTTGGCCTTTACTGTCGCCGTTGTGTATACTTGCTGTGTGCTGGCTAATAAACTGCCCCAACAATATGTAGTTTTCTCATTGGTACAGGATTCTGGGTTCAACGTTTGCTCGTCATGTCCGTATTTAAGTTGTAAATTGAAGCTTATTTTATAGATCGACACTTTTGCACTAAGTGGGTCTGTTCTTTCTATACAAATGTGCAATTAAAAAGTTCATTTTGTTTGTGCCGTTCATCTTACCGAGAAATCAGTCAGCTTAACTTTCGCCTCTTCAGAAAACACGAACAAAATTTAAAAATAAGATTAACAAAATTTTATGGCCACATTGGCTAAGCGGCCAGCGGACTTGAACAAAAAGGTACGAGCGCATTGCGCATGCATGCAAAGTGGGAAAGTAGGGATTCGGCATGCAAAGTGGGAAAGTAGGGCAACCCTCCTTCTCCCAATTTTCGTCCTTTCCCTATGTCTAGGGACCTCACCAGTAACGTCATGAAAGAAATTTTCTGTTCAACATTTATGTTTAGTAGGCTGCCCGGCAACCGCCAGTGGTATAAAAGTGGCTCTGCCACTGCCGAGAGGGAATACATAGGAGGTATAGGCAGTTTTCGCCCCCCGGTAGTCCTCTCAGAATTATCTAAAGCTGTTTTTTTTTAATTGCTTGGTGTAATAAATTACGCTTGTAGGAGACTTATTACATTTACCGTACTCGACAAACTTGGTTTGCATGCAAACTATGTAGACTCAAACTATAAATGTCTGCCATTTCTTTTTCCAATTTATGGGTGCAGTATATTTTGTAGTCATTCTCTGAAATTAAAAAAACAACAAGATTTTCTGGGGCACCACTTATATAATACAGCCAAACTATATTTTAATTACCCTGCAATTATTTCCCATTATGTTACGGGCATAATTACCTGAAAGTATGCATAATATACCAGTTAAATTCATTACACTCAAAGAAGTTCTAAAGACAGTCTAGAAAATATCTTGTAAGCGGCAAGTATCATGACAGTTACTGAATATAAAACAGTGCCTCGATTATGCTCCTGGCAGAATTGGCTGAAACGAGCTGGGCTGGGTATGGGCTGTATTTAAAAACACCGGGCCGGGCTCGGGCAGGCCGGAGCATGAAGTTTTCGGGCCGGAAAAGTCGCCCCGTGCAGTGCTCTACGCTGGATGACAGTGACAGCACGACTGCACGGCTCGAGCAGGCAATCGAGAGGGCGACACGCAAGTGCCATTTTTGTGTTTTGGTGCTTGAGGTTATCACAACTTGCCAGACTGCTGCTTGAAGTCACCAGGATTAGTACTGTAGACTGTTGCCAAGTTAGTGTCGATGTCGGTAGGTGCGCTGCAAGAAATTTGATTTTAATATCGAAATAAAACATCTTGTCAGCATTTCCCGAGCGTCGCACTTGTTGAGAGCCGTCTCTGTTTACAGGAGATTTGTATGGCAGAGCACAATCTCTTACGAAAACAGGTGTCGGCACACCTTTAAGGATGGATTACTCAAACTAGACTCCTTTTTACAACCTATGGTTTCCATCGCGTATATTTTTGTGAAGGGTTTATGCTGCTGTGTTATTGCAGTTTCTTCTTTTTTTTGGTACTTTTTTCTGTTTAGATCATGTACAACCGAGCGCTGGTTCAGCTGGGTCTTTGTGCATTCCGTCACGGAAACATTCGTGACGCTCACAACGCCCTGCTGGACATCCAGAGTGGTGGCCGTGCAAAGGAAATGTTAGCCCAAGTAAGCTTTCCAGGATCTCCCGTTTAGTGCATTGGTAATGTGACGAAATGTATCCTCTTTAAACCTTAATGCATATCGCTGGCTTTCTCAAGTGATCTTTAGTTCCATTTACAACTGGAGGAGTGCTAACAAAAGAACTTGATGCCGGAATCAAGCAGCAACCTTGTGCTGACACAAAAGGCTTGGAAAAGCTCATCATTGGTGGTTAAAGCATTTTTTTTTTGTTTCGAAAGCAAGCTCTTAGGCATAGCACAATATGGTGCTATATTCACTTCATGTAGACTCGTGAAGCGAGTGCCGACACTGTCCATACATCTAGTGATCAAAGGTTGGGTGGTCAGCGAGGTCATGGGCCTGTTGCATGGATTTGGTGAAGGCTGGGCAAGCCCATATCCAAGTGTGTTGACTTCACATAGATGAGCTGTCAATTGCTTATAGCATTCCATGGCACTTGCTCATGTTGCTTGGTTCTCTGTGCATTTCTTATGTGATAAAGTGACATTACCGACAACAGGGGCAAGTTCACTGGAACTACAGTTATGCATGGCTGTCAAGCTTGCGCATTGCAATTTCAATGCATGACGTTTGCCATATTTTGTGGTCTATGTGGATTACTCATGAGGCTACTAGTTATGAGTGGAGCATTTTATTCAAAAAGGTTTACAAACGAATGGGGCAGTATTCTACCTTGATGTTGTAGCTACTACATTGGGGCACTATCGTGGCGGGAAGGACAGGCTTTGACCTTCAGTCTCTGACGTACTTGCTACTGCTGCCCCATATCGCAGGGTCTTCTGCCTCAGCGTAAGGAAGAGCGTACGAACGAGCAGGAGAAGATTGAGAAACGGCGTCAGATGCCCTTCCACAAGCACATCAACCTGGAACTGCTCGAATGTGTCTACCTAGTGTCTGCTATGCTTCTTGAGATTCCCCAAATGGCTGGTAAAGTTGGTCTTGCTGACAACCAGTTCTTTCTAAAAAGGTTTCCTTGAGCACGTCTTGTCAAGTGGGCAAACCATGGCTAGTCCCATAGCCATAGGTCTAATGAGATTTCAACAAATTGTGATAAAAGACAGCATAAAGTATGTGAGTGATCAAATTTAGTTTTTATGCTTTGAGAGATCATAAATACACACAAAGAAACAAAGTGTTAATTGTAGAACATAAACAATAAATTTAAAAAAGTAAATGAAAGAGAGATGCTTGCTAATAGCTCACATACACAAAAAGAAATCAACAGAGGGAATCATGAAAGTGTGTTCATGAGACTTATTGCAAGGCAATAAAAAAATTCAAACACCTTCTGCAAGATGAATTGTAGAAGACATCAGAATTCAACCTACTATCTTCTGCAAGTAGTAGTGTTATAATGTTTGCAGAAATGTCAAAAGGAGACTGCATGCTCATTCATTTGGAGACTGCTTGCCAACTGTGAAAAAGAGCTCAGACTATGGGGCTTACTTTGGAAATCTGTTTTGGGATTTGCAGACTTTGTTTCTGGACGCTTTCTTTCTTTAATGCCTCATTCGCTTTCTAGCATAAGATTCTATGCCTTCGACAATGTGGGGTCTCAATATGAGAGAGCGCCACGCTCTTGGTGTGAACGGACGCAGTTGACATGGTTGGAACGAACCAAACAGCAGACATTTATTTAACTACTTTTAGAACGACGATATCGCCAGCCGAATTATAACATTCATAGTGATCAAAACACTAAATAGCCTTACACAATATTGCACAACACTCGCCAACATAACAAACACATGAACACACACAAGGCGGCTTCGCCAACGCTTGACATATTCGAGGGCCTGTGGCAGACGACCGGCGGTGCCGTCCACTGCAGACTCGCCTGTAGACAACCGTTCGAGGTGAACCGCCACCGGCCAAAGAAACCCGCTCTTTTTCTCCCGTGCCGCCACCAAGGCCTCCGCCAGGCTTCGCTGCCGGCACCATCGTTCTAACCATGATGATGATGGTGGTGGTAAACGCTCGCGAGAACAACGCCACCTACCACTCCATAGTTGTGACCTCTGAATGTGGCCTATGCGCGAGACACGTACGCCACGAGGCGGAAACAACTTTACAGGAAGGTTTTAGCACCCTTACAATGAGAAGCATGTTTTGGCAAGGTTTTCCAACAGTTTGGTTGTGTGCTTGTTTCTGATAAGTTAACGCCTTGTGGACAAGTTCCTAATGGATCCTGGTAGATGAGGTTAATAACATAAGAATGTGCTGCTGCTGCTGCTGTTATCAGTGACCGTTTGATAATCTTGATGTCATTTGCTTTTGGCTTGCAGCTCACGAACTGGATGGCAGGAAAAGAATGATCAGCAAGTCGTTCCACTACCAGCTTCGCAACACAGAACGACAGCCGCTTGTTGGTGAGTGGTATAAAAGGAATTCCTGGTTCATGTAGGCAGTCATTGTTCATTTAACTGCTATATTACTATAGGTTCTCTGAAAACTGTGTAATAAAGCAGCTACTCCTTAGTTTGACTGCTTGCTTGCATGTGGCCAGCGAGAAGATTCAGTAGCCTGACTTGTGCAGCATTACAAAAAATTGGCTTGTGCATTGAAGTGTCATACCGACATTGTAAAGTGTAAGTAAACATGGGTGGTTACAGCGGTAATGAAATGTAGACATGAGTGTTTAACAAATCAATTTTGTTTTAGCTTTATCACCATGGGTTAGATTGTTCTTATAAGAGTATTATTAATTGTTCGGTCATTTCAGTATACTAGAACTAGTGTAATAAGCTAAACCTGCTTATAACAAACCTCTATATATAGCAAATTCATCGATATAATGAAATTTTTCTATTCCCCGTTGTCACTCCATAGCAGCACATGTATTTGTGTCCTTTATGTAACAAAGTAACGAAAAGAGACATCCTCGATATAAAGCCTCGGATTTTGTCATTTGCATAGCCCGCACTTGGAGTTCTGCCGTCACGGGCCGCTGTGCCGCTCGCTCCTCAAGCACATACTCGCGGAGCAGCTCTTTAATTTGCGGAAACCGACCCTGCTGTGGCTCACTGAAGCCTTTGCGTGAAGCTTTGCTGTCGACAATCTTCTGCTTTTGTTTCCGCCGCTCCCGCACGCACGTTTCGGGAACGACCGCGATGCGGCCCGACTTCCGTCTGTTTCTGCACACGCGATGACTTTTCTTTTAAAAGCGGCATCGTGGTGCACTTGAGTTTTTGGAGTCGGCCCTTTCACGTCGTCGATGCTAATGCACTACTAGATGACGAACTCCTCAGCACACGTACGAAGTGCCGCACATGGTAAACACATAGGCAGAAATAGCCGACGCACCATGCCGACGCACGTAAGGGGCGGCCATTTTGGATTTGCGATGGCAATAGATTGACCGTAATTTTTTGTTCGCACTCGATTCTAACGCGCATGCGATTTATGAACTCGCTTAACCGGAAAAAAGGTGCGCGTTAGATTCGAGTAATTACGGTATGTTTTTTTTTCTTCTTTTTCAAACGTGGGCAAGCATCTCGTCACTGCCAAGGGGATGTCAGATTAGGCGCTGGTGGAAACTCTCCGAGACCACGGTTATCGGCTTTTGGTCATACAATCACCTTTGTAAGATTTCACCCGTGTTGCAGTGCACATTTTGAGCACTATGGGCAACAGCGTTCACGGCAGTGTGCCATAAATGATGCAACATCATAGGTGCTAGTGCATTATGTGATAGTTACCAGCACTCAGTGTGACCTCATCTGCAAAGGGCAAGGAAGAAGGGTATTTCTTTAGGTTTGGTGTGCTGCGTGAGATGCAGTTGTGGGGGGTTGCTTTGGTGCTGGGTGCATCGGGGTGGGGGGGGAAGTTTTGCATAGGTCTAGGTGGAATCTTCATGATAACTTGGTGGTTACGGCACATGACTGCTTATTCTTCATTCAGGTTGTGGGTTTGATCCCAGCTGTGGTGGCTACATATTGACACAGACGGAATGCGAAAATTCTTGCGTACTTAAATTTAGGTAAAGATACATTGGAGTAGGTGCAATTAATGTGGATACCCTTCAGATTATGGCAAGGCTCGTATTTGTATTGTGCTTTCGGTGCATGAATTTCTTGAATCGAAAATTTTTTGGGGGGGTCTATACTACTGCACTTTTCCAGAACTGGCGGTTGAGATATTGTAAGTAGAGGGATATGGCCAGCTCGAAACTGCCCTTACATTTTTGGTGGGTCGGTTATTAGCCATCAGAAGATATTGTCGCAGCCGCTCTCGCCTTGCTGCTGATGTCTGGTGTCGTAGCAGAGGCACAAGCTAAAGGCAGTGCAATCCCCGACTTCCTAACGGGACGACGCATTGCGCTCACCTGTTGCTACCTAGGTCCCCCCGAGAGCATGCGGGAGCACGTGGTGGCAGCCTCCAAGGCAATGCGGGTGGGCCGCTGGCGCGACTGCTTCAACTACATCATCAACACCAAAATGAACGCCAAGGTGTGGGACCTGTTCCACCAGGCGGACACTGTGCGTGCCATGATCGCCCAGAAGATCAAGGAGGAATCCCTGCGCACTTTCCTATTCACCTACAGTAGCGTCTACGACTCGCTCTCCATCGAAACGCTAGCCGAAATGTACGAGCTCAACAAGTCGGTCGTCCACTCCATCATCAGCAAGATGATCATTGGAGAGGAGCTCATGGTGAGTGTGCCTTTGTGTTCATGGCTCTTTCTCTCTCTCTGCAATGTGTCTTGTGCGATCTTTTCCTTCTTTAATTGACCCCAATAGTGCGTGCCAAAAAGTGTGCAGGTTGCAGGAATGTACCGAGGGTTAGGGGGTCAAAAGTTCTCAGGCCATTACCTCGTGTATTCTTGTGGCAGCGTGGCCTGGAAACTTTTGGCCTCCACTGTACCTTATTCGTTGATTTTTCTTTCACTCTGAAACATATTTTGTGTGTTTTTTCATTTGATTGACCCCAGCAGTGTGTGACGAAAAGTCTGCGTGTTGCAGCTGCTAACATTTCTGGGTTCTGAAATGATTGACATTAAGATGAAAAGAAAAAAAAAAGCATTTGCTTGATTTACATCCACAGTGATAGTTTTGAACACATTACTGGTCTGCACCTATAAGGGAGCTGGTAGTTAGTTAGGGCCATTTATATAGTTTATGGTAGTGATTCTTTATTAAAGTGTACATATGTGAAAAAGTACTGAAACTCTAGTAAAAATGATTAGAATTGCTGATTGAGGAAGCAGCTCATTGTTTGTTTTGTGCTGCTGAAATGCTGCAACCCACCTGCATCCTTACGGCAGTTGCTAAGCTACGACAACCAGGTTGTGGTAATTGCATGTATGCTGGTGAAAGCTCTTAACGCTTGTTGCTGTTGTGTGCAGGCGTCTCTGGATGAGCCCAACCTCATGGTGGTATTACACAAAACGGAGCCCTCGCGTATCCAGGCTCTGGCCTTGCAGCTCTGCGACAAGGTGACAAACCTGGTCGACCACAACGATCGCCTGCTCGAGATCAAGCTCGGCTCCTTCTTTGGTCGGGGTGCAGGTATGCATAAATTAATGTAATCTTCCTTACACCTATCCCTTGAATGGGCTAGCACTTCAATTCGTTACCATTTATTCATTGTCTTACCAAGTACAGTGTGTTGAGAAATGTGAAAAACTATTGTTGCAGGCCTTCAAGGATTCAGGGACTCTGGTTACCAAAAGGATGGCTATGGCCAGCGGGAGCGCAACTGGGGTATGTGTTTAATTTTCACACTTTGCTGTCTTCATTGCTGTCTTCACTCTTGTATAGAGCTGCTAATGTTGTGCGTAAATAGTAAATTGGCCTTGCAATGTTTTTTGTCTGCATTCTGCAGTGATTGAGTGCTCAGTAGTGTTGGATACTGAGATCAACTGAAAAAGAATTATAAAAACTGGTGCATGGGAAAGTAAAAGTTTTTATTCCTCAAAGTTCAAAACCCCGCATACGAGGACAAAAAAACGCATTCTCTTTCACATTTCATTGTGCGGCTGATGTCCATGGATGGTTGCAATTACCTACTGGGTGTTTCTAACAGAGACGTACCGGAAGTCTCGCCTTATGGTGGCCATTGTACAGTGCACCTAGTGTTGTTTTTATATTGTTTTTAAAATTTCATATTTAAAGCATTGTGTATCTGGGGAAATATAAGAAGTGCTTTTATAACTTTTAGTGCACGGCAGTGTGGCTTAGCTGTGACCATCTGAATATTACTGTAAAATCCCAAGCGATCGCTTCCCCTCCCCCTCCCTCTTACAGTCAAAGATAATTTGACAAGATGTTGGGGGTGCTCAGGCATAGATTGAAATTGAAGATGGCAAAAGAGCCGCTAAGAATAACACGGGCACACCCACGCTCCTGATGAAATGCTTTATTGAATATGCACGCATTCAGTGTTTTCGTTTGCTCTCGTCGGGCAAATAAAAGGAGTAATGAAACTGAAAATTTTGGTAGGGGAGAAGAGGCCGCACGTTTGAAATTTCCCGAAGAAGGAAGGGGGCTCTTGCTTGAGATTTTATAGTTGATTCAACTCGTGTCAAACCAATCGGAATGCCATGTCATTGCTGTCACTTCCACGTGAGGGAAAAGTCTCTTCTGATCCCAGCAATGGTGCCCATGTGCTGCTGCAGTCCAAAGTCAAAATGGTTTCCTTGTTTGAGTAAAATTATAAGCTTCGTTTTGGTGCTGCCATTTGCGTTACAATATCGGTGCATTTCGCAATTCCTGAAGCGGCGGCTAACATGCTTCATTTGTGTCACTGGGTCCGTTTAAATGAAATACTTGGTTAATTATGTTCTGCTATGTGTGATATGCTATTTACCTACATGCAAACATTGATAGTTCCGGACATGCTGCAGGGCCAGTTCGTCATTACGTGCAAACGATGCCAAGATTGAATGACGCACATAGACACACGACAGTCGCAAGGTTTTGCGATATCTCTGTCATCTCTCATTAGCGCTCTGGTACATTGGAAGCCATGCAAGTTAAATATTGCACGATAATAGTTAAAAACCTAAAAAACGCTGAAAGCTGAAATCTCATTTCTACTCTTTTACAGGCCGAAGACAGAACCAAAGGAACTATTGAAGAGGTGGTTCTTATAATTATTGTTTGCTAAATAAACTAAAAGGTCCGGCCTGATCAGTGCATTGCGTCATTTCTTTACGTGCTCTAAAGACGTCTCGTGAAGCTTCTCAAATGTAGTAGTCACCTGCTAATGATGAAAATGCTATCTATAATTTATCATGGTACTTCTATCCAGTTAACTACAGTAACTTCAGCTACAGCGTCTAACTACAGCAGCCTCCAAATAATTCAAGCATAAAGGAACCCCAGGTTTTCAGGTTTTTGTTAGAATTATCCGACAGATATGACTTGGGACAACATATCGATTCGTGTTGTGATGGAACATATTGTATACATTCTGGAGGCCTTGAAATGTGGAGACGCCCCGCCACGGTGGTCTAGTGGCTAAGGTACTCGGCTGCTGACTCGCAGGTCGCAGAATAAAATCCTGGCTGTGGCGGCTGCATTTTCGATGGAGGCGAAAATGTTGTAGGCCCGTGTACTCAGATTTGGGTGCACGTTAAAGAACCCCAGGTGGTCAAAATTTCCGGAGCCCTCCACTACGGCGTCTCTCATAATCATATGGTGGTTTTGGGACGTTAAACCTCACAAATCAATCAATTGAAATGTGGAGATTTATGCAGTGAGAGAGGACAGAAGTGGCATGTGTTTTAATTGTTGTTTGTCAAAGATAGCAGCAACGTATTAGGTCTGATTTCCACTAAAGCTTTAGAGAGTGAGTGCAGTGAAGGATAAATAGGTGGAGAGAAATACAAACGGAGAAATAGATAGAAGGAAAACAACAGAGGAAAAAAAACAGGTGAGAGAGCATTATAGACAGAGAAAAGACGTGGAAGAAAAATAATGGGAGAAAAAGATTGAAAGACAGAAAAGGAAATAGACAGAGAAAAAGAAATAGACACATGAAAAGAAAGAGAAAAAAAAAAAGAGCGAGCATAGCCATACACAGTACACTGGAACCTCGTTATAACAAAATTTAATCTTACATGAAAATCAGTTTATCAAGAAATATGTTACAAAGGTATATTCCTAACACTGTTTTTTGCAAGACTATTTTTAATTTACTTCATTATAACCTAATATTTCGTTATATCTAGATTCGTTATATTGAGGTTGGAGAGTGTAGTATAGCAAAGGGCGGAAAAGAGAGAGGTGAGAGTGTAAAAGCCTAGAGGAGCCAAGACTGGCTAGGTGCCCACCAGCTTCTGCCGTGTCGCAGCCTCCCGCGCTAATTTTTTTGCCCTTACTTCTTCCTTCTCAAAGTACCAGGGCAGCTAGTTCAGCCACTTTAGTCACATTTAGGTTGGCAGTCAGCTTCATCTGCAGCTGTTAGTAATATAAGCACAGATGTGTTCGATGAGAAGTGCAAATTCAACTGATACAGACAGCGAGCAAAAATTTTTTCTGCATGTAAGATTAATGATTATCGATGATTGTAAATTGGTGAGCAGGGCAGTACATATTTTTGGGCATGGACAAGCGAAAGAGTTGACCTAATTTACACAATAGAGCATTAGTGAAAACGTAGTGGGTCAACCAAAAATTTGAAATTTGTTTGAATTAACTGAAAGTTTGGGTTGTCACGAGGGCTACTGTAAAGGCTTGCTGGAGAATTGTGTGAAATGCCGATCGATTTCGCCATCGCCATCGCAGCATTGTCGGAACTCGAGGTCGATTAATCATTTCTAGCTTGAGCAACGACGGGCCTCAATTTTACAATTCCAGCATGTGAGCTGCTGAAGTTGAGTGCATAGACTTGTGCAGGGTTTCCCATTAGGGGCGGTGAGGGATTGAAGCCTAACCGCATCCCGCCCATGCCCGTGCTTCAAAGTTCGGAAGAAAACAAGCTTTGGCAGTGGATGCAAAAATGAAATTAATGCTATGTCAGTGGCCCTCGGTCGCATTATACATGTCCGTTGTCCCTAGGTATGTGGGGTCTGCCGAATTTTTCATTCCAAAAGTCTGGGCGTGCAAACATGGACACATGAGAGAATACACCACAAATGCCTTAGTTTCCTGGTGTCGTTGATGGTTTCTTGGCTTCTCTTTTGTGTTTGTGTGCTAAGACTTTGAAAACTTGTTTATTTGGTAATTGGATGAATAATATAAGATTTAATGCACTTAATCAGCTTTTTTTGCAGATGATAGGTCATTAAGTAGATTTCAAATAACTGCATTAGAACAAAATGTATGAGATTCTTAAACATATTAACTTATTTTCTAGAAATGTTTGGCAAATTTGCTTTACGAAGCACAAAAACAATGTATATGGCAAGATTGCTGGAAAGGTGGTCCAGCCAAAGATGTGATTTATTTTGTTATAATGTTGTTCACCAATTTATATTTCTCGATAATCATTAATAGTCCACAGGACAAAAATCTTTTACTCCTGAATGTATGCATTTATTTTGCATTCGAGGTTTATTGAAAACAGTCATTAGCATCACCAGCTATAGACCAACTCTGACAGTTCTTCCCCTTGATTTACAGTAGGTTTGCCTCCTACTGGAGATAAATGGCTTTGCTATATTACTTTGTTTTTACGCAATAGCGCTAAATAGCTCGTTTTGCAGAAATTCTAGTGTCGGCGTCGTCGGTTGAGAGTGAAAAATCATATTTACGTGACCGAAAAATCATCATCTTTGCGTGATCGAAAAATCTAGGAAGATGCAAATAAAATAAGTAATAAAAAAATTCTGGGTCCAAGTGGTGATCGAACTGGGTCGTTGGGGTGGCAAGCGGGTGTTCTGCCACACAGCCACGGCTCTCTTTTTTTTCTTAGTAGTTACATGATACGTACACCAGGGATTTTTTTTTTCTGGTGGCTGCCCTTTTTTACTCTCAATGTGAAGCTCTCGAATTGTGAAGTCGTCATCAGGTTGGCAGATGTGCTGTTGGACTATTTTGAGTACCATAAAATAGTTGTATGATTTCAATAGACCGAATCGCCGGCACAGATATTGTCGGCATCAGGAAGGGGGCAAACTGTCCAGGCGTTTTATGCGAGCAATTGTATTTGTACTAGTACCTTCGTCTCTGACAAGATGGCTTTCTTCATTACAGCTTAAATGCCCTTCTAATGTAGCTCTTGCTGAGTTTGACGGATGTACTTGATTCGCTTCCTTGCCACAGAGCTATGCAGAGCTACACCATGTCGCTATATTGTAAAAGCGATAGGTAAGTTGTAGATGAACCCGTCTGTAAATTGAAAGAGTAGTGTTGTAGCATGATTTAATGGACAATTTTGCAGACAAGGAAGCGGCTTCTTTGGTTGGGAGAGGGCTTGGTCGTGGCTGTCGTGCAGTGGTAGCTCTTTGGGAAGAGAGCCAGGCTTTGCTTTTCATAGTTGTCCTCTTTAGTATTCAGAATCTGAAAAGAAAGGACAAAGGTGCAAGCGATTGGTGTTATCTCCCGGTAAGAAGTTTACTTATTGGTTGGTTAATAAACGTTACTGGTGATTTTCCTGTCTTAAATGAATAAAGCAGTACCAGAACAAAATCTTTTACCTCGTCCCCCCCCCCCACCCTTCCCATTTTTTTGTTGTAAGTAAAGGCTTGGCGTATCAAATGCAGTAAAGGTACTGCGTAAGATCACAGTGTATATAATAAGTCATTGCAGCAGCTTTGCTGCAGCTAGTTTTCTTCTTGTTTTCAAAGCATCAGAGTACATCGAACTAAATTAATGCAGCAGCTTTGTTACAAATAGTTCCAGGATTGTTTTCCAGAGGTTATACTGTGCCCTGATGTTGTGAGGCAGGTAGTAATCAAGTGGACCACTCTATACTGCTACTTGTAAAGACAAGCGAGCCGGTGCGAGCGGCTGAACGTTGGTTGCATTATGTATATCACAGGTGATCACAGTTTAATTGCATAGCTCAAATTGGTTTCAAAAGCAGCGTATGTTATGGCGCTAAAGATAAACGTGTGTCAAATGTGTCAATACTGCCGGTGCTCTGTTGCCCGCCGAACTGAACCGTCATGCTTGTCGTAAAGGGTCGTCGATAGCGTGCATGGCTGCATACTGTTATTCGGCAACTATTTGCGACAGTGCAGGGGAGTTCAGGGTTAGCTGGGCGGCGTGCCACGCGATGGCTACAACGCTTCAACGGTGGAGAGGAAGAAACGGGTGGCTGATTCGAGGCATGCTGGACAGTTGGCGCGCACTATTCTACTGTCTCTAGGCGGCGTAGTTCTGTATTCTGTATCGTGCGTGCCTGTACTTTAGCGTCGACGAGGTGTTGTATTGCGATAACGGTTATATAAACACTCTCAGCATGTTTTTGCGTCACCGTGATGTTGCGCATAAAGTCCACATTGATGACAGCCACACGCATCGTATGTCCAATGTGCGAGTGAAAGCAGCGTTAGTGCAGGCGATGAACGCTTGTCTAGCGAAAGCACGGCGGCCGTATTTCGTCATTTGAAAGACCCACGGGACAACCAAATAGGCTCCGCACTTTACCATGTGTGGTCGCGCTTGCTTACAGGCATTGCCAGGCGGCTTATATTTTAGCGCGAGCTGCGTGGTCTTGCCGCTCGGTTTGCGACTAAGTGATAGCACGAAGGTCGCTTTGCTCGCTGCAGCTGTGGCCCTGCCTCGGTAGTTTAGTGGCTAAGGTCGCGGGACCGAATCTTGGCTATGGCGGCTGCATCTTCGATGGAGCCGAAAACGCTGTATGGCCCGTGTGCTCAGATTCGGGTGCATGTTAAAGAACCTCAGGTGGTCGAAATTTCCGGAGCCCTCCCCTACGGCGTCTCTCATAATCATGTGGTGGTTTCGGGACGTTAAACCGCACATATCACTCTATCAATTGCTGCTGCTGTCGTATTTCCTTACGCTGCTATTTTGTTGAGTTATGCCACATTGCATGCTACGGGAGTTAGCTGCAAGCGTTGCTTCGTATGAAATTCCAAGTCTCTCGACCGCTCCAAAGGACGAGGGGAGCAATGCTGAGTAGCACCCTTCCCCCGAAGCCGCAGCCATACAAAGTGCTGCTACGTTTAGGCGGCCTTACACCGTCCCGCTATATGCAAATTGCCTTCGTAGAAACCGCA